GGGGGGGGGGGGGGGGGTCCGTAATTGCTGTAAAGTTGTTGTCTTCCTTTACAAAACCGTTCCGAACACTTTACCCAGTACCTTCATCTGTCCGTACTTATCAAAAACTTGGTGGGGTAGGTCACAGGCTTACTTACCCTGAGAAAGGTATACTGTACTCAAATAAAAAGGACCCGATGGGTCCGCATGCCAATTGAAATCAACGATAAGAGTCTGGGGCCCTCCTCTCCCGCTACACGCTATGTGGGGTGGAAATGAAATTGGAAGTCATCATCACGGGCCAGAGAGAGAGAGAGAGAGAGGCACAGCCCTTCTTTCAATCTTGATACTTCACAGTGAAATAGAGAGGGCCATCCGGAGAATACACCAAAAGGACGAAGAAAAAAGAAAGAAGAGAAAAGAAAAAAGAGAAGAAAAAGATAACGAGTATAACGGAAGAAACCCGTGTGAGTGTTTCGACCCTGGCTTGCCCGGCTGGTTGAACACCAAACGAAAAGCGAGCGTATATTTTCGAGGGTAAGAGCAGGGTTAGGCCTAGGCTTCGGGTTAACTCGCGTTCTACGACTGAGGGCGGGGAGCTTGTGAGCCCATCGACTACCGGCCTCGAGCGACAACGGGAAGGATCAAGACTAGGGGTAAGGCAATAGTCGGGCGCTTGGGCAACACAATACTCCTCGTCCAGGATAGAGGAGGTGGTCGGTTGAAGCCGGGAAGCCCCCAAGGACCCACCACTCCACCGTATAGACTTCGTGAGAGAGGTGGGCACTATACAATAGGTCTCCTCCTGTTACAGTAGCGTTCGCAAGTAACCTGAAGCTTGGTCTTAGTTGTGGGTTGGGGTTAGGATGACGTAGGCCCCCTCTCTATTTTATACATATAAGCCTCCTCCTGTTACAGTAGCCTTCGCAAGGAACCTGAACCTTGGTCTTAGTTGTGGGTTGGGGTTAGGATTGCGTAGGCCCCCTCTCTATTTTATACATATAAGCCTCGTTAAGGCAGTCCTCCTCTGGTGGTAGAGGAGGAGCACTCGCCTTGAAGGCCGAGGGCAGGGAGCTGGATAGCTCGGACGTGATCCTCTCCGGCATGCCCTCGAAGAGCGAGCCGCCTCCGGTCAGGACCACGTTGCCCACCATCTCCTTGCGAGCGTCCGCGTCGGACTGCTCCAACGCCCTGCGATGCAAAGGCAGAGAAAAGGGAGGGGGGGGAGAGGGAGAGGGAGAGGGAGAGGGAGAGGGAGAGGGAGAGGGAGACAGAGAGGGAGGGAGGGAGGGAGAGAGAGAGAGAGAGAGAGAGAGAGAGAGAGAGATAGAGAGAGAGAGAGAGAGAGAGAGAGAGAGAGAGAGAGAGAGAACGACAAGACAGACAGACAGACAGACAGAGGGGAGGGAGAGAGAGACAGACAGACATTGAGAGAGATAAAAGCTCAGAGGGTGTGGAACATGACCTAGAAAAACACGTGTTGTGGTTGACTTTCTATTTTTCGTCTTCCGAGCAAATTATTAAGTCCGCAACCACCTCCTCTCCCGCGGTTTAAAGCCCACGGCACCAAAAACGACGGCAAAAAAAAAAAAGACGAAAAACTCTTGCCTTCTCATGAGTGCGGGCAGGGGAAGGTCGAGGGCCAGGTTCTCCTTCTGCTTGTGGAGCGGAGTCATCGCCGATGACTCCATCAACACCTCCGGGATGTGGCGGAGCTCGTCCGTCAGCTGAGTGGTGCGGGCAAGGGATAGTGTGGCCACACAATGCAACACAGAACAAGAAAATAGTATTCATGCCGCCGTGTGGAGATACTATAACAAGATAGGGTGGGTGGACGAAGCGGGTAAAAACCCACGACCTGCCTACTGCTGTACACCGCAATCGCGGGGCTCGTCGGTAATTTTTCTAATGGCGCAGCAACAGAGCAAATTGCTAAAACCTAAGCACTGACATCAAACTACTAAAATACCAACCTCAATGTCGGTGCCGTCGGGAAGCTAGTTTATTGATGAAGCAAAACAGAGCAATTCACGACACAACCCTGCTACTGACCTCAAAATGACGAAAACTGAGCTCACACTACGAAACCCAGCCTCAATTTATCAAAACCTCAAACCTGACCTCAATTTTCTAAAACTCTAATCCTGACCTCAAACGACTACTTAAACCTTCTTAACACTAACCTCAAATGACAAAAAACTGACCTCTCAAACGACTATCCCCGTAACACTGACCTCAATGTCGGTGCCGTCGGGAAGCGTGTACTTGGTCTCTCGGCCCTCGTCCTCCTCCGACGAACTACCCGAGTCCTCCAAAGGAATCGACATGCACGTCTCCTGAGACCAAAAGAGGTGGTCATCGAGAGGTTGGAGCGATAGGGTTACGTGACGCTTAGGCTTATCCCGTAATGATGGAAGCGACATTGCACGGCGGTGACGGGTGGGCTTTCCCTAGTGGCAAAGAGGCGTTAGGGCCTGGGGTTAGGCTGGCCCTGGCACGACGACCGGCGTGATTGGGGGGTAGTCTACACGGAGTGGTGAGAAACGCGGCAGTGTTCAATGTCGTAAGCGAAACATGTAATGGACATTGGTTTGTGCATCATTGTTTTTCTTCGGAGGCCGCAGCAAAGTCTACGAAAGTTTCAGTTTTCTCCTAGAATTGTAACTAAATGCAGGTTTGCAACAAAGGGGGAGATGAGGACACATTTTACAGCAATATTTCGACTGCAAGTGCGGCTCTATGCAGGCCGAGGCATGAGCATTTTGGCCAAAAGAGAGTGCCAGCAGGCCTTTCAGTTTGTCATCCCGAAGACGCAGCATAAATGTCAGCGGTAAAAAACAACTTCAAAGCGAAACACCCGATTTTCACTCAGCCCAAGCAACAGCAAGCACGGCGAAACTGTCCAGCCACCTTTCCCCCTCGTTTTCCTTTTGCCTTTCTCGTTTCCCGTTGCAACAACGGCTACAGGTCCACATGCACCACACACCAACATGGTCGCGCGTGCACAAATACGCCCCCCAACCTCCTCATTAGCAAAGGGATGTACCCCCAACTCCTCTCGTTCTCTCCCAAAGAAAAAAGGACGAAAACCAGCTGACCATGTCAGCCAAGTGTTCGTTTACAAAAATTATGGTGGACCGCTACTTCTTGCGTTGAAGGTACAACCCCCAACTCCTCCTTGTCCTGTCCCAAAAGACAAAGGGACAAAAAACAGGGGGGAATAAGTCGCGAAGGAGCCCACACTCCCACCTTCAACTCTCGGACGATTTCCATGCGCATGTGATTCGCGTAGCTGAGCGTCGTTCCCGGGAACGGCTCGGGCTTCGCGGCCGCCCCCCCACTCCCCGCCTTTCCTTTCTCTTTCCCGTTGGAGGTTGCCGCCGTAGTCGTGGGGACACTCGCCGCCCCTCGCTGTTGAAGGGCGTAGCGTGGTCTGATCTGGATACCTTTTGCCTGCGTTTGGGGGGGAAGGGTCATCGCAGAATGGGGGGGGGGAGGGGGGGTCAGTTGTGGTAGAGTTAGCCTTCAGTGTTGTCTTCGTCGGTGTGGCCGACACCTTTGTCGACTTGCTGACCGCAGGCGGTGATAACGGCCCCAAGGAGTCCCGGTACAGAACGAGCACCGAAATCGAAGGATGGGGGACGCGTGTTAGCAACGACGAGGAGAGAGAGACGAGACGAGAGATTAACCTAGACGAAAGCATGCAACAACAACAACAACAACAACAGCAGCAGCAGCAGCAGCACCAACACCAACACCAACACCTACCGCAAGGTGTGCGTTGGTCTGTTGCGTGAGCCAGTCGCCCCCTCGGATCCCTCTCTGCACAGCCCTGTTCAAAACGAAACCGTCCACCACCGGAACGGCACTGGTTGCGCCGTGCCCACAATCGCACACCTGCGACGGTGTAGTGCGTGTTTGGGGGGTGGGTGGGGGAGTGTACTCATAGCCGTGCATGCCGTTGTCGTTGGACCGTTGACCTCGCATCCCTGCAAAGTCGGGGGCGGAGCACGCCGGGTTCTCATCGGGCCAGGCTCGAGTGTTTGGGGGGGGGGGGGCGGGGGCGTACTCATGTAACGATGATCCCTCCGATTCGGTCAAGGTAGACACCACCCTTCCCAACTTTCTTACGCTACAACACCAGCAGCCATCCGATTTTAACTCTCTCACCAGCGCCGTCGCCCGCCCCGCCGAAAACGCGCTGAGCATGGCGTTCTTCGCTGGAAACATGGCCGGCACCCCGAACTTCTCGAACATGAGCTCCATCAGGCCCCGCCGCTCCTTGACGGTGCTCCAAGACGCCTCCGCCACGAGCACTGGCCGCTCCGAGGCTACCGCTCGCAAGCGATCGCGAAAGGCGTGTTCCCAGAGCTTCTCCACCTGTGTTGTTTTCGTCGTTGATAGCACACAGAACCACGTACGCGTGGCTCGTTGGAGTCTCGCACTGCACATGAAGAAACTTGAGAGAAAACCCCCAGCAATCAAAACACGCTGTTTGGCTCCATGGGCCGGGGGGGGGTAAAACGATGGCGCGTTCCCAAGGCCTTCCGCTTTCCGCCTGTCTTGATCCCCGGGCAGGGCCGACGCATGTGAGCGGCAATTTGTTGCATCTGCCGTCAAGAACATTTGAGCAGTGTAAACTGACGTTATCGTACCGTGATCGCACCGCCAGAAAGTAGTAACACCATTTTGACAACACCACAAGAGCCCCCCCCCGCCCCCCCGCCCCACCTCCCCATCCGGCGATGTTTGCCATCGGGGTTGGGTTTTCGTCGCTTGGCAGCGATGTTGTAAAACAAGCCGATCACTTCGTGAGCTAGGCAAACCAGGCTACCGCTTCTTTTTTTTCCTTTGGTGTTTTTTTTTGCGGTAGCCATGAATGGTGGTCGAGTATATTATGTTGTGCGGGGTCGAGAACCCTCACTCCGCGCAAAGGGGATAACCGCACGTTGTGTTAAATTGGTCAAGCACCCTCGAGGCAGTTTCACAGCGCTTACAACTGTCTCTGGAAGTGAAAGTACCAGAAAATAAATTAAGTCATACGCAGCTGTCATCCGTATGCAAGGAACTAAGCACAAGACGCCGAACACCCTTAGCAGGATGCAGCGCACCCTTCATGCGACTCGCCGAATACCTCATGGCGCTTCGCGCTTGGGCGTGCTCCGTCCCGGCTTTGTAGGGGTGCGAGGTCCATGGTCTAACGACTACGGCATGCACGACTATGAGTACACCCCCTCCCCCCCCTCGAAAATAAGTACTCTTGTTCCACTCCCCAGATCCCCTGAAAACGCACCTGGTCCCAGTCTGACAGCAACCCGTCAACCAGCGGGCTCCTCATCTCCATGCCATCCCTTCTCCTCGAGACCGCAAGGTCTCCCACCAACCAGCGGCCACTCTCCCCCCTGCTCCCGCCCTCGTTGTTCTTGGCCTTAGCCCTTCCTCCCGCGCCCCCCGCTGCCCCCCCCCCTCCTGCGTCGACGTCCATCGCCGCGCTCCCCCCTTGCGCCGTCGTTGTTGTCGTCGTCTTGTTCATGCCCTCCTGTTCGGTAGAAACGGAAAATGGAATCGTCCAAAATACGAAACAACCCCGTTTGACACGAAACGAAGCGAATGTAGTCGCGCAAGAGAGAGAGGCGTGTGATACACAACGGGAGAGAGACGGAGTACGAGGGTCGAAAATTCCAAGCGTTGAACCCGCAGGGGGCATGCATGCTCATTCCAACAAGCACAAAGCAAGACAAGAGACCCCCTTGAACCGTAAGCACACAAGCAAGTCACTGTAGAAGCCGCTGACTAGTTTAACGGTTTGAGGTCGGCCTCTTTAAAAGTTAGTACTCATGTTGTGAGGGGTTGCGATGCGCGAATGAGGATGCGGGTATGCTGATTTCATTCGCCGACAAAAGCTTCCAAGGAAACCAAATGTGCGCTTTCCGCCGCCTCCCACAGTGACTCACGGTGAACATCCGGCCGCGGTTCGGCTTTTCGAGAGCGTCACAACACCAAACAAACAAGAGACCACATTTCGGCAGTATTCACCGCACCCTAACATGTACAGCTGCCCCAACATTCATACGCGCCATGTGGCCCCTCAACCCGCCGACAAGTCTGGTCGATATTTGTTCTTCCCCCGCGTTTGATGTGAAACGTCAACATCGCACGCTGAATCGCTACACGCTCGCATTTAGAAAATCGATCCAGCCAGGGAACTACCGCTGTTACAAGAACCCTGCCTTCTTGCCGCAACCTTCTGCCCGCACCAGCGGCCCTCAACAGAAAACAATAATTGGAGCGTTTCAAACGCACTTTGATGCTCGTGTTGCCGGGGAGATATCCCGCCGTCGACAAGAAGACATGCTTTGGCGAGTCTTCCCCCCCGTAGCCGAACTTGCACGTGTCCGCTCCGATGTCTCCCACGATGGTCGCTACCTCATCTGCCGGCAAGAAGCCGCCCACCAAAACGAGCATCGTTCGTTGGTTCGTCTAGGCACTGCAGCAATTGTGTAGCTCGTATAGCTATCGCAACAGATTGCGAGGCGCTTTAAATTACGCGGACGGCGCCCACACAATCTGTAACGCGCTTGAAGTGTTACCAGAATGTACAACAGCAGCCTATGTAGACTACGGTACCTGCTTACATAGGCAAATAGATTATCGTACGCGTACGGGCGTCGAATCTGTCGAGCACGCTTGCCGTGGTCTTTGCCCCACCACCTTTACCGTTTGCAGCAGACAGCCGGTAGTCTCAGCCACTGTGCACATGAATAGAACGAGAGTCGAGAAGGTTCGATACAACGGGATGTGCTCTGTACGATGGCACTCCCCAAGATCTGTATCCTACTGATATCTACACCAACCACAGCGTGTTTGCTTGTATCTGCGACTGCAGAGGAGAGACGGCAAAATAAGAGCCTGGGTTACGCACAAAGAATTAGATGCTTCGTGGGACGTAGCGCCACGACCAACAACTGCTGCTGTGGGTTGGCTGCGCTGATGGATGGCCTACTCTCTCCGGTGCGTGTGGTCCTGCCGCTGCCGCTGCTGCTGCTGCTGCTGCTGCTGCTGCTGCTGCTGCTGCGATCCAACACAACGCAACGGCCGACTGCCGTAGATCTCTCACGCCGCCAAAGCGCGAAGTGTATACATCCCGCGGGTGTCTCTCATTTCTGCAGTTGCAAGTGATGCTACCGTTGGCGGCAGCAGCGGGAACACAATCGCAACTGGACGGCCCGCTCGTGTGATGAGGAAAGGTGGCCGCTTCTTTAGCTTGGCTGCCTGGATGCTGGGAGGCGGCGCAACCATTTTCATCCAACGCCAAAAGAGAGTGACCTGAATAGGCATCGTGTTTTCTTGCGAGCTTACGATACCCAGGTGTATGGAAGGCAAGACGGCCGCACGCTTGTACATTCGATAGGTCGTAAGGTGTCCATGTGTGTACTCACCTCCGCAATACATGTTCAGCTCGTGAAGCCAAGCTCACACAGGCAGGGAATGTGGTGCACGCGGCGAGACTCACAGGGGGCACGCAACCGCGAGAATAACCCGCCCCCCCAGACAAATGCGCTCGAGGGGTCATCGACCACACGAAAGATACAAAGATCCAACGCGTGGCGCCCAACGCGCAGCGTGTGCCAAAAAACAGACGCTACCGCGGGGGGGTCACTCATGGTTCCTCCTGCGCCGCGCGAGAACCCTGCTCTGTCGAAAGATATTCTCAGGAGTGCAGCGCGCCGGATACAGCTGGCGGCAAGGGACGGCGACGGGGATGGGCTTTCAATTAGAAAGAAGCAAGAAGAGGAGAGGTGGTGCCATATCGTCAACGAGATATGGCGCGCTATCGGTCTCACAATCGAGCATTCTCTTCTATCTGCCGCCCGCGGGGTTCGTATCGAGTCCTTCGGAACATTCTCTCTCAACGCCTTGGGCCGTCCCCGGTTCTTCCTTGCTGCCGATTTTGCCGCCAGGCATCGCCTCCTGAAGTACGACGTGTGCTCGGGGGGATGCCTCGCGGGGGGGTCTGTCAACACCAGGCTCAACGTCGCGAGGGTGGCGGCCACAGCGGGAAGCCCCCGACCCGAGGCAGAACGCGCTGTGAACGCTGTTCTGCGTTCTCTGCACCAACGCCTAGCGACCGGAAGATCCGTGACGCTTTCGTTTCACCCCGTCGCGGAGTTCTCATGCACCCCCTCCGGGCAGGCGACAATGCGGTTTCTGTCCGGGTTTCGTACGAAGCAGAAGAAAATAGCAGGGGATGCCATCCGCGTTCGCGTGGGCACGGCAAGAGCCAGCCCATTAACAACGCCCTGGGCAAGTACCGCTGCTGCTGCGGTCGCAGACGGGAACGGAAATATTAGCGCTGGTTGCAAACACATCGCGGCGGCAGAACCTGAAACCGGTCGCGCTCTCCAGGATTCTGTGGGAAGGAAAGGCGACTCGGTTGGAAGACGACCCCGTTCGTCGAACTCAACGAGGTCCATGCAGCCGGAAAATGTAATCAAAGCTGCCGATCGTCCTGACACTTCCATTGGGTTTGATGACAGAAGACGGCCATCACTGACACCGAACAGCAATGCTGCATCAAGCACAAATAGAAAGGCAACCTCTATCTCATCGCCTGTCCAACGCTCCGCCGTGATGGAAGCAGAAGTCAAAGCGGCGAATGGCACTCCAGCCAGCTTCGGTGGCAGTCACACCCACAACAATACTCGGTTTCTCAAAGCACAGGGCATACCCTACCCTTCTTCTAGTCTTTTGCGTGATGGACAACAGGGCTGTCATCACGGGAGCGACAAAGGCTCAAGCCGTGGACCCAGCGACGTCGTCGATGAAATCGAACATTGTGTACTGGACGAGACCAACGACCTGAGTCCAGCACATCATCTTGCGAATCCCTGTAACAGCAAATCTCGAGTGGGGCTCGCACAACATCGACAAGAACATCCTCGGCATCACCCAGAAGAACAGTTGTCGAGCCTACTCCGACGACAAACATTGGCCCAGGCGGGAGAGGAAGGACTTCGCCGTCTCTTTGAGACCCTGAGGCTGACCCACGTAACAGACGACCGCCGAGGAAAAGACGGCGGCGGAATCGGGCGTCTGTCTGGCAGAGACTTGCTCCTAGCTCTGCGTGACGTTGGTACTACGCTGACCTCTGCCGAGCTAGCGGAAACTACTAAATTGTTTCGGCAGCAGCCAGATGGTCGCGTCTCGCTGCCAGTCCTCCTGGCCGGGATAAGAACAGAAAGCTGTGGACGACAGTGGCGTCAACAAGTAGCAGCGGCTGATGTCATCAGCGAGGAAGATATGCAACCTTCCTCAAATTTTCTGGGTACAAAGGAGGTCGACACAGCGCGGGGATTGCCTCTTGAAGCTTCTCCACAACGATTTCCCTCGGGACTACCATGGGAGAATTCCGAGCATCAAGCGGAACTGTCAAAGTCATCTTTTCCTCGTGCCGGTTGGGCAAGCAACAGTGAAAACGGAAACTCAACTGCGTTGTTGAGCACTCCACGACTGAGTGATTCCTCTACTATTTGTGAACTTCTTCAGAGGAAAACGGTAGCAGTAGAAGAGCGGGCACGTAGAAACGCTAGCCGACCGCAGAGTCAGAACACCGAAAGGCTTATTGACGGTCTTCAACTGCACAGGGCGCCGCCAGGAGGGGGAGGGGATCCGTCAGATGGTGGCAGCGATAAGGATGCCAACAAGGTTGTCGTCCATAGCAGCGCAGAGCTACTAGCGGGGCAGCATCCGGATTCGGCCCCTTCTGCTGTGCCGCAGCAAGCACGTCGCCAGTGCTGGGGCGATGATAACATTGGTGGTGAAAGGGCCTGTGCTGTGGCTGCTGCTTCTACGGCTGCGCCAGAGGACGACATAGCGGATCTAGCGAGAATCGTGTTCAACCCGCCGTGTTCCCTGGAAGGACTTATAAATGTTCTTGAGGCCAACAAGGTGTGTTGTTTGCGAAAGAATGGTACGTCCAAAGAGCTGCGCGATGGCACAAGCGAGAATTCCCAAGTATGGAAGGGTACGCGCGAAAACTCGATAAGCCGTGGCCCTTTCAACGATGCTATCACTTTCGTACAGTCTGCCCCCGCCCCACTTCAGGTTTAGTCTAGTCTGTCGTGCAGTTCGTTCGGTTAACAACAAGTCTGGCGCTTGTCCTCACCTCCCGCAGATCAACGAACAACCAACAATCTCCTGCGCTGCCTTGGGAGCACGTTTAGTCCAACTGCGCCCCGGGCTCGGAAAAGCAAGGGCTAAGCAGTTGGCTTTGGCAGCATGCCGCTTCCCTGATAAGCAGGTGGGGTTATACATCATCGAAGCACGCGGCGTTTGACGCAATGGTCAAAATAAAGATTAGATATCAGCGCAAGAAAATGGTTTTGCGTGATGTGCATCCCATATACGTCAGTACAGTACATCCGCCTGCCTGGTAGGTTCTTTCCTTTTCGCGAACTCAACCTCGCAGTCATCGTCATATTCACAGCTCTTGCTGGCTTGAAACCACAACTCCGTGTTCTTGACGGGGCAGCTTCTATCGCTTGTGGGCTCATGGTGGTATACACTTTGGCGTTTTTCTTCTTACGTCGGCGCGTCTAGGAAACGATGTAGCCTACACGTCGGCCACAATGTGCCAGCAGATGAAGCCACACACAGAGCTATATAATCGTACGCACAATGTCGACGAAATAACCAGCAGGAGTGAGTGTTGTGTTCACAGTACGAAAGTACAGATTAGAAGAGCAAACTGCATCCAACAAGACCTTGTCTGTATGTTCCCGTTTTCATATGGTACTATTGTCAATCTTTTCTCAGGTGGTAAGGTTCTTTTACCTCAAGGGAGCTCACGTTTTTCTGTTCCCCTTTTCATCAAAGTTCTGATACAAAGGAACCGCTCTGGATTGTTGCTGCTGCTATGCGCTTGTGGGTCCCCTGTTTGCTGTGGTCCTTGCCCACGTTCTTCGTATCGCCTCTCACAGGTCTACCTCGAAGAGATGCACGCCTTGTTGAAACGCCGATTCGGCCGCTGCCGGTCCAGCGGCCGAGACTCCTTCGACGGAAGACACGCATCAAGATGCGCTGCTACTGCAAACCCTTACGGTGTCCACGATGTCTGTAGCGCTTTGGCGAAGGTAGCCACGACGGGAGCGACGGTTTCGTCGTCGTCGTCTTCCTGCGCCGCCCTTAAAAGGGTCCGGCGGAAGCTGCTTGTCGGGGAGGGGGGGCTGGCCCGTCTGAGGGCCGCCCTTTTTTCTGTCGGCGGCGGCGACGACGGCCGTCACGGTGTCGGCGAGAGGGGAACCCTGACCAAGGTGCGACCCCGCGATGTACTGATGGCTCTGACCTGAACGAAATATCCGACGATTTTGATTTGAACTGACCCATGGATGTGTAAGCTTTGTCGCGCGGGGCACAAATGAACACCACTTATATTCCACCGAAGATTATGTTGTACCGTGGTTGGTTCTACCTACTCTGTGGTCTTGCTTCTTGAACGAAAGGTCTCCGATCCAGGGTCACGTAGAAGATTTTCTCTGCGCCGCATGCCTTTGTCGTTCGACCTGTAGAAGGGTTCAGTGGTTCCCTTCCTCAGGTGATTTTACTAACCCTTGTTTAGAGAGGTACCCCGCACGGGGCGCCTGTCTGTTCAATGTTTCCCTTCTAAAAAACAATTGGATCCTTTGTGCTTCACAATGACAACGTATGACAGGACGAGTTGCGGCGTGCACTAACGATGACCAGGAGTGCAGGGTCCAGTCCCCCTTCCACCAAAGACGTGGACGATCTGTTCACCATGTTTTCCGGCCGAACTCCCTCGGGCAGTGTTGGCGGAGCAAGGGTGGACGCAGTGACCGTTTTTCGCGGTCTGCGGGGAGAGCTGAGCCCGTTCCGTGAGAAGGTCGTGCGGGACGTGTTCAACAGCTTGCTCAGAAGCAGCAACGCAAGCCCCAACATTAATAGCAGCGACCGCAGGAGGAGTTTGGTAGACGTCGAAGAGCTACGAAAAGCACACCGCAGCGGCAGCGGCAGTACCGACGGCGGGGACGGCAGAGGGTGTTTCCTTCAGAAGGAAATCTCCGGAAGCCCCAGCAAACCGGGCGGCGGCAGCAAGTCAGGTCTCAGGGAATGGTGTTCCTCCTTGGAAGATGGTACTGGGCCAGGGTGTACGGAGGGCGTGCCACCCCAGGCGGCAGCACTTTCTGACGCTGTGGAGAACAGGGACACGACGAGAGGACGGAGGACGGTCAAAGGGGTTTCCCTCGAGCAATTCCTAGAATACTACAGGTGCGAAAAAGTTGAGTTTGTTCACCAGCAGCGGTTGCGATTCGTTATTGCTATCCTAACGATCATGGCAATAATGTTTTGATGAACGCTTCAGCCCTCACCGAGGAAAGCTTGCTACGCATTTGGAGACAAAGTTCGCTTTTGAAACGTTTCCGAGGCAGACGATGGTGTCTGCAAAACAGCAACACGCACGTTTGCACCCTGTAGACGTTTAAGAAGTACTGCACCAACATGCAAGTGCGAAGGAGACTGTTGGTTACTCGGCAAAGGGAAGGGTGGTTTGCCGGGCGGGCAACCACTCTCCTCTTCTCATTTTCCGGAGAATAATGAACCAATCGGACTATCGTTACGAACCTGCGCCCAAAACTCTTCGTACGAGCCCAACACATCGCTGAGCTTGAATCAGCGTTAACGGTGGAAGCCGCTGGGCACATGTAAGACCTTGTCAGCATTGGCAATCCCGTTTGTGGAGCCGTCCGGCAGGGAAGCCCCCTCCCGGAAGTACCAGTGCCCCGGAAGTAATGTACTTGTAGCATTATACGTTCGAGCTGTACCGAGAAAGAACCTTCTACTGTATGTGACACGATGAATCGGTGCAAGGGGCGGGATTTTCGCGGAGACGCCTGTCATGGGTAGTAGAATCTAGGTGCAAAGCACTATTATTGAGCGTTTCCCTATACTTCATGCACGCGGAAGCCGCCTTTGAGCACTCCATGGCATTCCCCGCTTACCCACCCCTCCCTCCTGGACCTGCCAATGTCTTCCCTCGTCCAACCACCGTCTGTTCCTTTTGAGGTAGCCTAACGATATCACCCCGCTCCCGCCTATCCCAAAAAACACCCGCATACTGTTTCCTTGGATCAAAAGAGACTTGAGCGCCGCTATTGACGGCGACGACGCTTTCGAAGCCAAGGTTCGCGCTTCGTGGCCCTTGCGAAGCCCCCTTTCCCAGTCTGAGCGACGCAGCGGTGGAGCCTCATCCACAGTAGCAGTTGGCGAGCGAGGGAACGACCAACAACAACGAGATGCAATGGGTACTGCGCCCTCCTCACTTCGCCGCCTAGGTGGCCGACAGCAAGCTGACCGCAGGGATTCTGATCTCGCCGAATCAAGCAACGCCGTTGCGACCGCCGAATACAAACGATCCACGCCGCCCGGCGGAAGGGGCGAAAAAATTGGAAGTAGGCGAGCCGCTGCCGTTCGAGTGCAGGCATTGTTTCGAGGCCACCGAGGAAGGGAGTGCGCGGCGGGGGAGGGTAGGAAAAGGGCGAGGCGACTGGCCGCGGAAAGGGCAGCCGAGGAGGAACGACAGCGGCCGCGCGCGGTGGCGACCCGTCGAATGGGGGGCCGGATCTCACGGCCTAAGGGTCCCAGCACGTACGGTTTTTGAAGGGGGGGAATTTACTCTGTTCCAAGTATTGCCCCAAAGCGATGCGCCAGTAGAAGTAGAGATGACAGCGAAAGGTGTTCGACTCGCTCGCATCAGATAGGTGTCTTCGCGCATGTTTGAAAATTGTGGATCTGAGTGGGAACCTAGTTGGCGTTAGTACTCGATTAACCTATTGGAACAACAGGGTCTGCAGGTTGAACAAAAGCGCAGGGTACAGAAACTGCACCATTTTGTGGTAGTGTACCCCCGACGAAGATTTTCCATCCGCAAGAGCATCGTTCGTCTTGTGCAGACATCGTCAGGACGGAACAACCTCCACCTTCATGCATCGAAGTGAGTCCAAACGAGAAGTTGTGCCACAAAGTGAACATGTGTTCACGTATAAACGTGCGATGGAAGGACCTGCACGTGTACGCCCAAAATTCGAACGACCGTTGTTCGTCGGCATCATCATCATCTCGCTGGGCTTACTCTTCGCAACGTCAACTGTAGGAAACCCTACCGTGGCAAATGCCATCTCTGTAGACAGCGTAACGTCGAACCTCAACCCTCATTCCTTTCACCATTGTCGCTGAACACAACAACACCAACGTAGTCTAACATTGGAGAAAGAACAGGCAACTTACAAGGTTTTCTCTCTCCCCTCGTTCCGCAACACCATTCAAGGAAACTCGACAAGAACCATGCATCACAAATACTGCTTGAGTAACGGGTCCACCTCCTGAGCCGCCAGTCGCAACGCCACTGGCAACCGCCGCAACTGCTCAGTATCAGTACCTCCCACACGAGAATGCACGAACATCACCATATCCGACCAAGCTCGCCCCTTCATGAGAGCCCGGACTGCTTGTCCGTTCTCTGACATGGTAATAAGCACAGCCGCGGTATAGTGAGAAAGCGCTACAGTCAGCCACACCCCAGGCGTACCCGGAACTTGTTCCAACAGCAGCCTGAGGATGTCAAACACTGCCAGAGATCTCCCTAGCCTTTCGATAGGACCAGTGTTGGAGCTAGAGGGTGTCAGACAAGGCGGTTCGGCCAGGCGAGCAACGAGGTGCGGCGCATGACCGAGTAGGGCCACCGCCAGAGACACCCCGAGGAGTGACTCGAACGCATCTGTGCGGTCCACCCCGCCGAAAGAATCCACGTTGACGCCACAAGCAGAACGGGCTCGGTTAGATCCCAGCTCTGTGACCAGAGTTCCGAGGAGCACGCCAAGTGACGAGACAGCAGGCTCCGCCAGACCGGGCCCGTACACCGGCTCCAATAAACGCGAAACCCAGGCTCTGTTACTTGCTTTCCCACACACACCGAATCCTTCGACGAGGAGCGTGCCCCCATCGTACGCAGCTGAATCATGCCCCGGTGGCGTGCCCTTTGCAGTTTTGGCCCGCTTGGTCTCTACCGACGGAGAAGACGGAGCTCCGCGGGGAGGTTGCGCACGCCGCCGAATTTCTGCCGCAGCGTGAAAAACGCCGACTATAACTTGTGCCGATGTGTGGGGCAGGGCGGCGGATGCGTCGCGAAGCTGATCTTGGCAGAGCCCCGTGCCGAGCCCACCTCGAGGAAAAGATGCAGTTGGTACCTTCCCACCCGTGTGGCCTTTCGCCGTGAAGCCTTGATCTGCGTCCACTGCATGTGCTTCCTCCCTCTTTCTCTTGTCCTGAACGCTGTTCTTGACTGGGCCCAGGGGAATCCGGCCGGTTTGTTCCTTGATCACTGGCCCGGAGGTGGTCTCTTCTGCTGTCGGTGATGCCAGATCCAGAACGAGTGTCTTCGCGAAGCGTTCAAGATTGCCGAGGTGAAAAGCCCATCCATCACGCGCGAAGGGGCCCGCCGGCGCAGGAGAAGATCCGATCACCGGCTGTAGGGTGCGACTCAACCGGGTCCAGTGCCGCACCATCTCCGCAGCCAAAATAGGAAGATCCTCCAGCATGTGCTTGACTGGGCAGTCCTCGTGCTCCACACCAGCCGCTTGGCTCGCGTCGCTTCGACCCCCATACCACATCAACGCCACGCGCATCAACTTCTGAACCGCCCCGTACTCGAAGGGTCGCACCTGGTTGAACCACTTTTCCCAAAGGAGACGAAGAGACTGGATCGCTTTACCCTGCCCTTCCGTGGCACCGATCGCCGGTATCGCTATCTCGGCAACCAGGACCAGTGCTGGGCTAGCAGCGTCGGCTCGGAGACGGTTAAGCAGGACCAGGGCTTCCAAAAAGAGCAGGGACGCGCCGCGCTGGTTGCGTTTCTTCGACTCGCGTGCAGCGCCCGTCTGCTCGAGCCTCGCCGCAAGCATCGAGCCAGCTGTTGCTTCCAAACTACACAGATTCCCCACAACCTGCAAGATTGAGTCTAACAGTGCATCCACGCCTTCCACCGAATCACTCACGTGTGCGCCGTTGTCGCCAGTGTTTCTCCACGACGCGTGGGAGTGGGATTCCCACGTGCGGACCCCTGGATCTCTCGAGACACAGCGCACGTCCCCTACCTCGCTTGCCGTCGAACCAAGACACACCTTCCTGTGTGCGGCATCGCGCAGGCTCGGGTTTCCGAACAAGCACGCGGCGCACTCCTTCCATACGTCTAGCACCTTCACCGCTATACGGCCCGCGCCCTTTCGGCCTCTTCGAGGCGATGCCAGCGCTGCCTCGTCGGCTCCCAAGGTGTCGCTTGGCAAACCTTCGGCGTCATCAGCTTGGTCATCCGCCACGAGTCGGCCCAGAGTTACGCTCTCCAACAGCGCAAGCTTCGTCGAAGGTCCCACGAAATCCGTCTCACTTGCGGCCGCCAGCTCGAGTGCAATCAAGCGCTCTAGGGTCGGCAGTGTGGAGCCCCGTGCGCCCAACGCGCATTGCAAAGCTCGCTCCATCAGCGGGTGCTTCATCACACTCTGAAGGAGCCGCAAAAGCCCTGCGGTCTCACCGCTGGGACAGGACCCGTTACTTCGTCCGAGTTCAATCGAGAGACGCCGTTCCATCCACCAGCACAACTCAAGCAGGGCGACGGGAGCTGGCCCCACCCACTCGATATGTCCACCACCACCACCGCCGACGTCCCGAGCGGGACCCGATAATCGTCGTCCGACTCGATCGTTGTGGCGCTCTGGGACTCCCGCGGTCGCGTCTTCACCGATAATGTCTGCGGTGCTCTTCTCCCACAAATGCTCATGCAGCAAGAGGGAAGATTGCAGGTAGAGCGCCCCTACTTGCCACGTCGCTGCGAACCCGGCTGTTCTCCTGACCGTGGACTTTACGTGACCACTCCTACAGGCGTTGGACCTGGAGAGAAAGATCTTCGCAACGAGACTGGCCAAGAACCCTTCCACCTTCGGATAAAATGCTGCAGGCAGACCAGCGAGGCTGTGGGTGAGCGACAGAAGCTGCTTGGGGTCCAGCCTGGGGAAAGAAACACAACACAGAACACACAAGCTGGCGTGATTAGCACAATTGATCATCGCATGGGGATAAAAGTAGGATTTGACGGCCGGCGAGCATATGGGACTAACGGCTGTGATCAGTTTTCTGTAGCATCAAGCATAAAAGGGGTCCAATGTTGTCTTCGCACACAAACTAGCCCCCTCGGGATGCGGGTGAAGGTTAAACAAGCATATGGTGATACGATCTGTTATCTGCCGATGACATTCGCTTCAACCGTTCGGACGAATAATTATTGGTCGTCGGTAGACGGTAGCAAAGGACATAGAGCGGCGTGCACGGAAAAATAAGAAAATGGACACAAAATCGCGCTTGGTACCTTTCTTTTGGGGTGTCGGCGACCGCCAAGCAAAGTCTAAATTAGTAGAATTTGCGGGAGAGCTCTTACTGGTCACGCACCTGTTTGGCTTCGCTAGCAGAGAAGAACACCGCCGAACGAGTGCCTCGCCTAACTGGTCCAACCCCGCCGCTACCCCGACCACTTCCCCGATGCGCCGAAACGCCTGCGCCACAGGCACGCCGAGGGCGCCGGTTGCCCCCCCCTCGTTTGTCATCCCCACACCAGCTTCCCGGACAACACCTTCTGCCCCAACGTTTCTGTCTAGATCTTGCTGTCGTTTAGATAAGCCTGGTTTGCCGCTCGTGGGGATTACCAGCGATGCGCCAACGGCGGCAACGCAACAGTGGACGCTGTTCAGGATTGCCTCTGCCACCGCCTCCGGTGACGCGCCGAGACCCGGCGAATCGCCCTCCCGGTCGGCAGCTGGGAAACGTTGTCGTTTCCATTGTTCGAGAATCTGCCGGAGGAGTTGCGTCGCTCTCGAAAACCAAGCGCGGCCAGGCCTCGATTCAGGGTTGTGACCCTCCGCTTCTCCTTCATCTTCCATACACAACTCTACGACCAACGCGCGAGGAAGAAACTCCTGCCGAGGCGTACCGCCAGGGGGGTCGTGGGGCGAGGGGGGAAATAAGAAGGGCGGATTTCGGTGTTCTCGCTGGTGGCCGTGCTGTCAAGAAAGACTAGAGCCGTTACGTTTGAGAGCACGAGAGAGGACTACCGAGAAAGTGAGCACGCCCAAGGACAGAGGCGCTGACCAACATAGGTGGCCACAAAGTAGTGTCTTCGAGATACTAAACGCAGCCTTTGCAAAAGCAAGCATATGTATCGCCTTCCAACTGAGCATATCCGCACCTGGGTGTTTCGTATCGCACGGGTGTGCGCAGAAACGTCGAAATAACATGTTGTAGAAGAGATCACCTTGGCGTACCGTCTCCCCGGCTATTCAGACAATCCAGGCTAAATCTTAAGCGCGACCACATATATCTCACACTTGCGGACGGGGGGAGTGGTTCGCGGTAAACCCAACGCACCTGGAGCAACAAAGCTAGACGCTCCTCTACTGCACTGGATCCGTCGTGCCCATCATCGATCTTTGCCGAACAACGCTCGTTGAGCTTCGACTCAAGCAGCAACAGCTGCCCAGCGACCCCGGTAGCGGCCGCTTCCATTCCGGAGCTTTTCATGATGGAATTCGACACATGATTTGGCAGAAACAGCAATGGCGCAACCCAACGGATGAGTTCGCTGGGAGATATTTGAGGATTTCACATGGGGACTGAAACTAATTGTGTAGCAACGCGACACCACCATCCGTAGACGCTGCTACAAAGCACGCAAAGACACGCGGGCCTTCGACGGCTGCCCGGTGATGCACAGCGCTACCACTTGTGGCTGCTACAGGGCAGACAAAAGTGACGTAGGTCGTCCGTAGAGCGCACAGTCAAGCCGACCCACCTCTCCGCTTCATCTTGATGTCGCTGGCTTTGCAGGTACTCAACGTACGAGTTTCTGCAAGATGGTCGTGAAACAAGGGAAAACGATCAAGAGCACTTTTAAGAGTATAGAAAAATAATAGGGAGGGGGCACGCAGACCCTATCCCTAACCCTAACCCCAACCCCAAAGCACCGATTGAATACTTTATCCCATATGTTTGCGTAATCAATTTTGCTGCGTAGACTACTGGCCCGCTCAAATAGCGAAAAGCCATTGATGTGCCTCACCATCGTACTCCTAACAAGTCAGGCTCTGGGAGGTACCTCTGTGGGTCATTCAAGGTTCACAATTGCCCCGCCCAATTCATAGCGACCGGGCCATATTCCTTTCAAGTGGTCCCCGTGTTTAGACACTAAATAAAACGCTATGCTGCAGACCGAGTTGCAGAACGAGGTTGACCTGAAGGACTCGTGCTCTTGGGCAGTGATGAGTGAACTCTTTGCCAGCTTCTGCACGAGCAACCGGCGGTATTTCAGAGAGACCTCGACGCGAAGGCCACCCTCCCCGCTCCCTATGGCCTCCTTCACCACGGCACTGTCCGGAGGCAGGATCCTGCCACTGTCATCTGCCGGAAGGAAATGTATGTAACGAAAGCCGGTTCAGCCTTAGGGCAGCAAACATCTCGCTGGTAGACCTACAGGTGCAGATGGCACCACAAGGAATCAACACACAAGCATGGCCGAGAGAGTGGATACGATGCCAAACGAGGCGATAAGTCCAAGTGGCTTTGGCAGTATCCCTTCGTTTCTCTCTCCTTCCCTACACGCATACGTCCCCACTGACCTGGCATAGCGATGCGCTCTGCCGGCGGGGCAAGCAAGACCTTGCGTATTCTCGCCCAGGATTTCGGCTGGAAAACAATGAGGGATCTCAACGCCTCCGGTACTTTATCGGTTTGCTTGAATTGCCGCAGGAAAAAGCCGACCTGAAAACACGTGCATGACGGGATACACGGGGGACGGTGGCGGCGGCGGCGGTCAGCGACGGCCCGGAGCCACATGTTTCAAGACCCTTTGCCCGTCAAGCATCTCTAGATCTGCAGCGTGTTTTGTGACCCCATGGCGTCTATAGACGTCGGTGTAGTACAGTGCTTGCGGCATCACATTTCGAGCAAGACACGGGGAAATGCCCACCCGCCCTCAAGTATCATTACTCACATCTCTACGAAATAACATCTGCCCCCATCTCCCAACAAGACCGATAAGCTAGCCTTTAGTTCATGTCCGATGAAGAGGTCTTGGAACGGCTGAAACGAACGGCCGACTGTCTTGCACAAGGTCTTGCTTGGCTCTCCCGGCACCATCAAAAACGAACGAAGGGCCTCCTGAGCTTCTTCTGAGCATGAAGAACATTTACCCCACAGTAGACACGGAACCGATTTGCAGAGGCGGGGATGTTCTCACCTCTCGGGTGGTGGGGTCCCCGCAGTCTCTCCCCGGAAGGGCCGAATCCCTGTTGCAAGACCCTTCCGCTCCCCGAGGGCGTTGACGTCCTTCTCCGCCCTCCCTGCGTCTCTGTGCCCCGCCCCGGCCGTTGAGGTCCGACAACCGGGTGACAACGAGATCGATGAAGTCTCTGACTTGGACGGAGAAGCTGGCCCTGCACGGCAAGCAGAGGAGGAAAAGGTATCCTACACTGAACACCAAGGCAGAACGACTCTGCGCGACTGTCCAAGTCACAACAAAACGAAACTAAACCAAGAACATCACCTTGGCAGCAGCAATTGGAGAAGTAAGGAAAATCGCAGAGAACCAAAAGTACCATTGTGTCGTACGGGTCTCCAAGAATAAAGGCAACGTGCAAACCGGAAGGAAGGTCACCGTCGACATTTCACACTGACCGAGGCACCCCGATGCCCGCTCTGTAGTTAAGACATCGTGCTGTAGCACAGGTGGATTTATCGAATGAGACAAGATAGATGCCTCACCCCATGCTATACCAACTACTTGAAAGCCGAGTCGAGAATACTGCAAAGGGAAACACAAACCCGCTAAGGCCTCCCGTATAATGCCGGCGCCAGGGGCGGGATTTCGATTTCGCGGGCACAAATTTGTTTTCAAGAAAAATCAGGCACACCTGAGTCTGGTTATGAGCGCATCCTTGTGAACCTCCAGGACGAAGACTGGGTCGTAGGGTACGGACAGGCACAGCGTCTCCATCAGCACCTCGGAGGCACGCTGCTTCTTCATGGCCTCCTGCACAGCCTATGCAACCACCGAGAGGCGAATCATCGGAGCACGTGCCGAGGGCGGGCGAAGAGTAACGTGCTTGCTCAGAGCAGTCAACAGATGTTTGATGAACACACCTGTTTACCTTCTAACCCATCGTGGCACAACGCATTAGCTGCCGATGTACTTTCGCCACCTGCAAGATTAAGGCCGTTCGCGACAACCTGGCCGGGTACGCCTTGTGTGTCATCTTTTGTTGGGTACGTGGACGGGTGTGTGGCCTGGCGTGAATACAGCACTCACATCTATCTCACGAGCCAACATCACCTCTGATAGCTAAACTTCTCCTTGCGAAACCCCTGTCGAAAGTCTAGCCTTTTACGAAAGAGAGTCAGACACCGGTTTGAACTGCTGCTGGAGGGCACGCACAGTACGTGTAGGGCGATCTTTCCGTGCAAAACCAAAACCAAAACTAACATATCTTTGACGGGGTGGAAAAATGGTCAACCGCAAGTTCTGACACGGGTGGTTTTAGCAACATGTGTTGTGAAAAAAAATTCGAAACCCTGTAAGAAACAAAAACAACTGTGTTGTCCCCCTCTGTGGGCCCGACTGACGTGTCAAACACACATTGAAAGGATAGCACAACATGATGTACCTACGTACGTGTTCCTGCCGTGGTGTAGCTACACTTCATTCCGTCACTAGTATCGGACTAAACATGTACCCTCGAATCAACGTTTGCCACCATGCTTCACAGACCTCCAAGCAGGAGAGCTGCGGCCGTTCCCCATGCGGCTCCGACGCCCGTGTCCCCTCCTGCGGGGCAGGCATGGCTTCTGCCTGGTCGACCACTTTCGCAGCGCCGCCGGCAACACCAAGGCAGCTTCGGACCCACTGGGCGTACAACCCACCGCCCTCGGCAGCTCTCTTGTCGGTGCCGCCCCGCGAACACACGTCTGCTTCAGCCACCAACCGGAAAGCCGCTGACAGCACGAGAACTCCTTGCTGCTGGTTAAACCCGGTCGGCCGACTGTTTCCTGAGGGAACGGCGTTGACTGCCGCTGCCGCCAGCTCGGTCCCAATGTCGGCTACCGCGGCCGGTACTTCGTCGGCGTGCGCAGTCGCAGCGGCGCGCACAACAGGCCCCAACGTCTCCCAACGCAGAAGAGGCTGTTGGGGGGAAAAAATGAAGCAAGCGGAGAAGGACGAATGATCACCGTGGGGTTTGACCAAGAAGAAACACAAAACCCTACGTCGCTTGCGGCCCCGTTGGGGGTCCATATATTTAAATTCGGTCCTTGCGATCATACATTCGCAGACGTGCAAATAAAAAACAGGAGGACGACGACTCTTCGCGCGACTCTACGAAGACGACACGTGATCAAGCACCACAGCGAGGACCCTGTGCGACCTACGTTAGATCGCTTTTCTAGCCCCGAGCGCACATCATCATGTATTGGGCAGCGTACCATCCACGAGTTGGACAGTTGAGAGGCAGGGACGGCACAAACAACGGTGCTTCACCACGCAGCTCCATGAGTACGAAACGCACGACCGAACGCCCTCGCCGGAACGCCCAAACCTTGCGCATTTCGATCATGAAGAGGCAAAAATATGAAGACGTCGCCTACCTTGTGGAGGCGCCACCCCGTGGCATCGGCAGCTTTGTCGGCGGCTTCGCGACAGATCGATCGCAGTGCCTCGATGATGTGGGCTGAGGGGAAGTGTCGCAGGATAGCCGCCAACAAACCGCTCATAGCACCGTCGCGGACGTCAGCCGTCTCCACTGCCTCGAGCACGCCTGCGTCCCCGCCCTGCGCATGCTCTTCGAGATTTAAGAAACGGGGTTTGAGTAAGAACGAACGCATCCAGACAATAACGGGGTTAATACAATTGGACGGCGACTCCACATGCAACTTGAAGGTCATACACAAAAGCCGGTGTACCGACAAGTCTAGGGCAGACTGGCCCACGAATAATAGGGGCATGGGTAGTTGATGTCGGGCCATAGTAGTCATGCCGGACACGGCCAGCCCATCTCCCAGCACCGGCCTACTGGCTTCGACGTTTCCGACGGCACGACGGGGCCCTTACCACTCTGTCCTGAAGAATTTTCCATCAGCAGCCGCAGCTGCCGGGCGAGAAACGCGGCCGTGGACACGAAATGCCCGAATGGAACCCCCGTCACGGTACACGCGCCGCCGTCTCTTGCCGCTGCCCCGGCGGGTTTGTCCTCCAAGGCAGCCGCGGCTGAACCTGGTCCGCGAGGGACCGCTTGAGCCGCTACCGGTGAAATCGCCGCAAGTACCGACAAACAACCACGCAATCTCCACTCTTGCCCTTCCATTCTGCTGTTTGCGCTGTGACAGACGTGGTCGAATGGATGCCGGGCGGGGGGGAGCCTGAGCTCAGCAACGTTGAAGCGGGGAGTAGTACAAGTGGATAACCCACTGTTGACCGCGGAGATAAACCTGAAAACGAAGCAACACAACGTACTAAATGGTCTCACCCGAACACTTTCGCGTCGCAACACAGCCGATCAAGGACCGTCCTAGCAGCCCTGCTCGCAAGTGCACCAATTGTGTTTATTCCATCCGCCGGCCCTCCGGAGCGACTAGGACCCTCCCGGTACGCCAAGTCGAAGAGGTGCGTGGCTACCTCCGACACAAGGGCGGCAGCTTCTCCTCGCCGAGAGTCACTACTGTCTTCGTCTCCGGACGATCGCGCAGCCAGAGCCCTCATGTCCTCGACGATGGCCTCCAAGGAATCCCCGTGAAATCCCCCGAAGAATCTTCCCTGGTCCTCGCAGCTGCGATGCCGGCCGAGATCCTCGGGCGAAAGCAACGATTCGTTCGCCTCTAGGAGGCGCGACAGCGGCAAGAGCGCCAGCTTGTGCAAGCGCCAATACAGCGCCAGAGGTACAGGCGGGCACTCGCCTCCCCGCCGCCTGCCAGTGCCTCTTTCCTCGCAACGTAGGGGGTCTCCACGCCGGAGAGTCGACAGCAGCTGCGTCTGGAAAACCTGGGACGAGACGGAGCCCCTAGCGAGCTGCGCTTGAACCGCCAGCAATCCGGCATCGAAGGCCTCCCATAAGTTCGTGGCTTCCTCATCCGACCCTCGGCAAAGCTCTCGGTTGGTAGCATTGCGCATAAGAGCGACCACCGCAGCCGCCGAGTCGCGTGCGACCTTGGCAACCTGTCCGCATGTGCTGTCGAGGATCGTGCATGGGTTGACATTGCTGACAACCCCGGCCGCCCTGCGTTCGTCGATGAAACGAAGTCGTCGAAATCGAAAGCGAAACTGACGGGACTGTCAACTAACGGTGGGCTACCGGTGTGTGTGCGAGCATTGGTAGTACAGTGTACACATCATGATTTCCGTAGTCTACAGCGCGCACAGCACTTGTACACAAGGTTTTCTCCCACCGCACGAGGAGATCTTTGTGTGTGCCCTGCATGGCAAAGAACTCTACATGTAGGGTATACAATACGGCAGCACTTCTGTTGCACGCAAGCGCAGCAATTACTACATACATAGTCCAGTAGCCCAGTAGCATCCCACCGCCGCTTCGCATATGTAGGATCGACATCGTGAACACCACAATGTTCAAATGGCCAATTCCATGAAGGGCGCATGAGATGGCGTATGGGGAAGTTGGCATTGCCAGTTCTAGTCCAAGAGGAGAGCAAAGAGAGCACGTAGACCGAAGAGCGATGCTACTGCTGTTGTCTACGTAAGTAAACAAAGGTCCCGAGAGGGGAGACAGGTACACAAGACAAATTCAAATTCGCAACGCAATAGAGCGAGGGCGATGTGCTTCTCCCGGTTTCATCGGGCTACGAATCTCACGAGTGTCTGGAGTTGTCAGGTTCGCCCCTCCTGATCGACCGAAGTGCGGTAAAGTCCATCCCTGGCCGTGTGTTTCACCGTGTCCATCCCTCGGTGCTCGAGCACAACGCGGCAGACTGCACCAGGCACTGCTGCATGCTCTGCTCTCGCCTCTGACCCCCGTCCGGTAAATTCAAAATCCGATACGTTTCGCGGGGCCCCGGGGATGAAAATATTTTGTCCCTGGTTTGTAACATATAGAAATGTTCAAATAATAATAGTAAAGCTGCGTGCTGCGCCGGGTGCCAATCTTTCATCATCATCCTCCACAGCAGGCTCAAGAGATTAGCAAAATAGCACACCCAAGTCATCCACAACGAACTGTACCACTTCTGGTCCGGGGATTGTCGATAACTGCTGTATGATACGCAAAACCTGGCCGGCAGACTCCTGCAGTACACACCACACAGACATGATGCTGGTCGTCGTGTGTATACATGTAGACTATACTGCTGGAGACCGTGAGGCTTCGGGGCTCACACATTATCTCCACGCCGTTTAGTGCAGTAGCAGAGGCATCTCCGGGGCAGCAGTCGCTATCGTATATGTTGGTCTATCGCACGCGAACGTGTTGTATGCACGACCGACTGATATGCCACAGTTTCTTGGACTGACTGCCGAAATACCACAAAAAAACTACCCCCACCCAGTGACTTTTATTTTTTCGTGCACTCTGTATACATTGTACCGTAGTACACGTCTCACCACCAAAAATGGGGGGACTGTCGCCATAACAAATACTGTAGGACGAAAACACACACAAACACTAACACATCATGACCACGTCGAACCGGTAATGTAGTAGTATAATGGTTGGAAGTCAGTGCTGCTGTACTGCATACTGGCCAATCAGAAAAAAACTGCGGGCACCTACCTGGTAGGATATTCATCATGCAGTGAGTAGCAAACTGGCCAGATAATGTTGACATTTCTCAACGCCCCTCGACAAACCTCGTCAAATCAAGACGTCAAGAAATGTATCAACAGTCATGGACCAGTTGGTAACGACGGTGGCATGACAAATACATGATGAGCCCTCAAAAGAGTTGTGCGCCCGGTCCACGCTTGGTCGGTGTGCACCGTATTCAGCACCCACAATACATGCACGACGGCCTACAGTGCGTATTTTCTAGAAGAGGTCGGTGTCACGACGGCTCGTTTGGGGGGATTCTCGCTCCTCATCCGTACCAGTTGCCAAGCTTGTTCCGCTTGTTCGTTCGTTGGTGAGCGCATTGCTTTCCACACTGTGCTCATTGTTCTCCTCGCTGTCCTCAAGTGGCCGCACGAGGAAGCCGGAGTATTCCTTCTCCCCCTTTTTACTACTTCCCGTTGGGGGTGACCTGTACGTTTCCACGACCGTAGCCCGCCGGGCGCTTCCCGTCCTCTTCCTGTGGCCGTCGAATTTGAACCTCCGTATCCCTCTGGACTGAAGTGCGGCAGCAAATCCGTGCGGAAGTTCACCTAGTATTGAACCACACACAGCAGGCAGACGCAACACTAACCGTTAGTTAGGTGAGGCACCATGTCTCGAAGGTCACATGCAATTCCCTCTCGTCTTTCCGAGTTCTTCGCCCAACCAAGCGCGGCGCCGTCTCAAGCTTGGCTTAAGCTCTTCCTGTGACTAGGAAAATCAAATGACAACGTAGTCAACGCCATCATGTTCTCACGGCGCACATAACGCACCGTCCAGGGCGTTGTCCTGAAGCAAAAGGGTCTCGAGATGAGGCAGTTCAGCCAGGCTTACTGGTACTGGCCCTTGGAGCAAGTTGACCGAAAGGTCGACGTAGCGCAAGAAACCGAGCTCGCCCAACCACTTCGGCAGTAGCCCTTTCAGGTTGTTCTCACAGATAATCAGGATCTGTTGCCCGGTTCAAACGACATGGGTATGGCAGCGTCAACTGGCGATGAGTAAGGTAACACAATATATGGAACGCGCGTTTTCCCTCGTACTGTACGTCGTTGCGCGCAGCTCCTTGAACCTCACCGAAATTCTTGCGGAAATAAAATTGAGTCAGAGACCAAACAAAGACAGGTTCGAACTCGGCCAGCAGTTCAACGATGAAGAGATAGATGTTGTCATATCTCAGTCCAGCTCTTACTCTACACGAGATCAACCGAACGACGCATTTTGGTTCTTGCTCTTGCCTCCAGTAGGTGAAGTGCTCGGAGGCCCAGCGGAAGGTCTCCGCTCAAAACGTGACTGGAAAGGTCCAACCGAACCAGCTGCAGTACACTACCTGTCCACGTTGTCATCACAGGATTTCCGCGTCGCAGTGTAATAAATCACTTGGCAATATGTCAATATGTACGTCAAGTCAGTTCGTTCCGATCCTAAGACGTGGTGCCTTGTACCCACCCTTTGTTGTAAGCGTTGCCGGTAGGTGATCTCGCTGCATAAACCAACGCGAGGAAGTGAGAACCAACCCCGACAACATCACTCGCCTAGTCCGGCAGTCCGCAAAGGACCCCTTCCTGCCTGAGCGTATCGGTTATCTCCCATTTTCAATTCTCCCTTATGCTCCAAACAGGCCCCGGTCGGGGTCTCGAACTCACCCCGCAGGTAAGCGTACTCGATATCATGTGTACACCGAACTATTTAAACGATATCATGTGTAGACTTACTACACGGCCTCTGTATTACAATATTATGTGCTTGTACCTGAGGTTTTGGTGTTGAGTATGGAACTGAGTCCCCCCGACAGCCGCCCCTTCCCGTACCCCGGACCCTGGCAAGCGAACACTCTTAGCCCCGATAGAGTAGAGAGCGAAGGTGCCGTTCCCTCGAAACGGTTGCGCGACAGGTCCAAGCTACGCAATGCGGTAAGACCGCGAAGATCAGGAATAGGACCTGCGCGATTTTATGGGTCGAAAAGGTTGCGTGTTTATAATCCAACGCATGGATTCGAAACCAACGCGAACGTGCTACAGAACGAATGATGATACGCCACCTGGACGGAGAGGATCAACCATCGGCTAGTGCGTACCGTTGAGCTTGTTGTCCTGCAGAGCCAGCACCGTAAGCGTTGACATGGAGCCAATTCCAGGCGATAAGGCCCCCGACAGCGCGTTGCCGTCGAGGCACAGCACGCTTAGCTCTCCGAGCGAAGAAAGCGAACCAGGTATGGAACCTGTACATTGTGTGACAATGCAAAAGGGATTCGAACTACAGCTGCAGTGCACAGAGTTTTATGCTCCACACAATGAATGGATGAGTGGATGATGTTCTGCGAAATCCACACAGACAAGAGGATGGCACAATTATTATTTGTAATGGGGGTTAATCTTCGTCAAAATTACCTGTTAATCGATTTTCGCTCAAGAACAGTTGCTTCAACGTTGAGAGTGATCCAATCGCTTCGGCAATGCTTCCGGACAGGACATTCGACGAGAGGTCTATGATCTCGATGTTCCTCAAGGCGAAAAGTGGATCCAGCGTTCCTGGTGCAATCGCGCAGTGTTTAGCGACGCAGTTTCAAGGAACTGGGGTTAGTTTACAAAACAGAAAGTTGGTATCGCTCACGTCGAAGGGCACATATTTCTGAACGCACGGGCTGAGGCGTCATATGTAGTCTACCCATACAACATAGCTACAGAGTCTCGCGCAATTTACGATACAGCAAGCAGTTTAGATCTGCATGTTGAGCTGATGCACATGTTCTTGAACCAAATAGTGGCGTCATTGGCGTTGGTTACCTTTCAACAAGTTTCCTGACAAGTCCAGGACCCGAAGTTTTGACAACAGGCCGCAGGAAGGTGACAGGACGCCCGCAAACCCGTTGTATGCGAGCAGCAATCCCGCCACCTTCGTTGACAAGAAAACAAACAGGTGTGACTAAATCTGGTGTGGTCATCGAGGGGTAACTGGCTGCTTCTACAAATTTACACTTTAAATCTGTTCCGAAATCATGCTGGGTTCTGGACAGAAATGATTGGGGGTCGTGTGGGTAAGAAAATGCGTTTTGGAAGATACATGCGCGTACAGTTTATTTTCCCTTAATGCTGCTGCGCGGGATTGGACTGGTCGTTCGTTCTGCCTGAAAGTCGTTGAATCAGCATTCCCCGTGCTGCTCTACAATCGTCATACAGAGAGCGTCTACCAAGGTACTCACTCTTCCACCTTCTAAGAGTACGCCATCCCGTCCGTTCTCCCGGTGGCGGTAGTCCGTCGGTTGTTTTGGGTCACCACCTACTTTTCTCCAGTCTCGTCCCCCAGAGAACAGGAAGAACTCCTCAAGAAGAATATTTTCCCACGATTGTTTGAGTCCCTGTGCTCTCCTTCGCAACCACATCATCCGGGGCGGGTGGGATGGGACGGCGGTGCGAGAGAAACGGTGAGAAATGATGAAATGATAGACACGATCTTACGGATCTTAGGATAAGAAGGCGGCGTGTCTGGTGTCGCTTCAGATCAAATTCCGCCGCATCTGTGCTCATGCCTCTGTAGAGCCTCACACCTTACACCTTTTTCCTCTCCGAGAGCTGGCCCTCCATATCCGACGTGCTGAACTCTCGCGTCGCTATCCCTAATGGTATACAAGGAGTCGAGGGTAGACGTCACTTTGAATGCGTTGCGCGTTATCTTGATTTCTGGGAACGGATTGTCGAAATGATTGGTTTCGGATAAACTCTCGAAGATTCGTCAGCCCGGGTTAGCGCGGTCGATGGTACTATTGTTGTACAGAAATACGCCTCTTGCTCTCTACGTTACCTTTGTTTGTGTTTAAGAACGCTGGCCGCACGAACAACGGGACCTTTCAAACTTGTTTTGCACTGCGCGAAGTCGCGAAGGCTACGTCATCCCAATCGTTGGCGGTGCACAGCTGTGGACGAATACAACCTCCGAGTCAGTTATACACAACAACCGACGCCGCTATCATCAAAAGCACTCTGGTTTACGCGGGAATAAGCAGCTGGGTGATTTGGATTCCTCATGGTGGAGGTCCAATGAGCATCTGTGACAATATCGTTTTCCACCAACACACTCTGATCTGCGGGTGGGTGAGCTCAGCAAAACAGCGCGACTCCAAGCGCATCTTTCCCCCCAAAGCCAACCTGAAGCTTGGGTTCTCTCGTTAAAAGGCAAACATAGCGCAACAAAACTAACCAAAACATCAATGCTTGACACGGACATGTTTACGAATATCACCACCGGTGCGATTCAACCGCCAGCAGTTACTGTTGGCACGAGCGTCAGCGTGCCTTCATAGGCGGCAAATATGCTTCCGCCCTCGCGTGCTAAAACGACACGCGCATCCACCACTCTTGGAATCGGTTTACTTTGCCCAACTTCAAGATTCAACTATTTAGAGGCGTGACAGAGCTAACACGTACCAGTTCGCCCACACAGCAGTGCAGTGCAGTCCACAACATTGATGTGCAACTCCTCGACGAGTTTCATCGGCGTTGCCTGTCTGAAGCTTTCCTTGTTTACGGGAAGCCGCAACTTCTTACTACGGTAACACTCTCGATCACGAGACACAACAAGAACAAAGCAACTAAAAGAATGGAGACGTCCAGACCGCAACGAATACCTTGAAACTAGGTTCCGACGGTGACAACGCCAAAGAACTAAACCCGAAGAAAACCTACGATGACAACGTACTACAAAAACAAGTAAACGTGAAAGAAATCGTATGAAAAAACGTTTCAGCATTGCAGTGCAGCCCACAACATTTCTTTCTCGCCATAAACCGCAGAGCGGGCTGTTGTGCGTCGAAAGAAAATCCACGAAAACTATACCGCACGAAAATTGTCACCAAGGTACATACCGAACCACGGGTAGAAAAAAACCGACACGGACGGGAGGACGAACCCTTCGAAGTGATGTCACATCTGATTCGCCGTTGACGTGCAGGTTGTTTGTGGGGAGCCCCGAGCGTTCGACCAGGTCGGTCACACGACCAATCCTCCAGCGTTATGCAGCCTTTCTAGACAGCCGTCTACAGCACCGCTGCCCTAAACAGCCTCTCCCGGCAGCATGTACAATCTGTCCGCTTGGTGCAAGGAAGACAACACATGTTTCCCAACACATGTTGCCCAGCATGCCTTGTTAGACCGCCATGCGTGCCCGACGCGAGGATGCCACACGACAAAGAAGAACGCTATCTCACCGATCATTCATCCATCACAACTTCGTATTGTGAGACCCGAAATATTTTGCTGTTAGTGTCGAACGACACACGCCGAGAACACAAAAATAAATGGCACCGTGTTTTTCTTCGGGGCACATTCTTGCACACACCGTTCGAACTCGAACCGTCGCGGGTTTGCGCGCACTCGAAACTTCTCCAAAGTTCTGTCCTTCACCTACACTATCCTACCACTACTACTACTACTACTACTTTACTACTACTGCACGACTGCTCCTGCTGCGATCCGCGCATTTTCGAGCGCCGAGAGCAGACTGCTAAACGACACACCACACCACAGATTTGTGGGCACCCTGCAGAGAGTCGGCCCACAACTTAGGCTTGCGACTTGGGGTACGCGATTCTCTGGGCAGACGGACCAAGAACCAATGGATTCGTGCTCAGGGCCGGAGCATTCCTCACAGGGAACCTGGACGTACAGGACCCTACTGCCACGAAACACAGCCCCATTTAGACCCAGAAACTGGGGGCTCAAATCAGGCACACCCAGGCGTACTCGGGACTCTAAAGTGCTGCACTCTTCTCGCATGAAAAATCGAAGGCAGAGTACCTCAGCTCTTTTCGCATTAAAAATTGAAGGCATAGTACCTCAGGAGGGGTGAATAGGGGGCCTCAGGGAGAGGAACCGTTTTGTGTGACCACGGGTAGTAGGAAACGGCACAAGTGATGCGAGCGCTGATTTTGAAGTGAAGACACAAAAAAAAAAAACAGCGCCGAAGCGCGAGACCGTTACACTACATAGTTTGCCTCGTGCCACAAGGAATATAGTTCACGGCCGACAAATTCCAAAAACAAGCGCTCAGGACGAGGTGTTAATCCGTGTGTTGTGCATCGCGAAGAGCAAGATGTCTGTTGCTCCGCAGCCCTGCAATTCGTCCATGACGCGGCTCGAGTCCTTCTTGAGGATCAAGGCCTGGACGGCGAACCACCCCTCCGTGTCCAGCTGAGAAACCGTCGGCGATCGCTTGCCGGGGGCCACCTGTTGGTATTGTTACGTGGGTGGGGGGGCATGGGGTGCATACTCATGTTCGTGCACGGTACTTATAATAGGGTGCGTTGTGTTGTGTGGACGGCTCTGGCACGGGGTTTGCATCGATACCTTGTTGACTCTCGCAGGTCGATGAAGGCAACACCGTTTCTAGGCTGCTGGGATTGCGAGAGTTCACTCCATCGCGAGGGAAATTCTGAAAGATGGCGAGCAAAAGCGGACAGGAATTGCGAACGACATCAATGCACCGAATCTCCTCTAAAACCCACCACAACGCAATATATGAAGGCAAGCGTCACTTGAACTAAGAAAAAAACTCTCGCACCAACCTGTTTGCAAGCTTCCAAGTTCTCCTTCGAGGTGTTGTACGACACCATCAAGTACCTGTTGAACGGCGAACGAGCGTCAGAGATTGGTTCATGTCCAGTTGGCACAGAAGGCGGCTTAACAGGCAGCGGCAGAATGTCGTTGGTGGGGGCGGGGGGGTTGTTTCGGCTGGAAGGTTCCAGGACAAAGCTTACGCCGCTCTCTCCTTCCGGTGGATGCATGACTCTCAAAAAAAACCGTTGCAAGATGAGGTAGGTTCCACTCCCAAAAACGCAGCAAAATATTTCCCTACGCCGTCGTCCCCCTATAGGCCTGCCTCACGGGGTACCTCCGATGGCCTGGCGGCGCATAAGCAGAGCGTTCGTAAAGCCTCAGCGTGTACCAAATCACCGAACTTGAGAGACACTCAGCAGACGCGCACATAGGGAAGAGCATGATGGGGATGAGTCCTCACTTTTCTGCGGTGATGTAGCCCTCGATGCGTCGCACGATCAGGTCCACCATCTCCCGGTGCTTGGTGCCCTTACCGACGATGAGCAGGCACTGCGAGTCCATCACCTCCGCCACCACTTCCAACCCGGCCGCCTGGCGTGGGTTCAGTAGCCGAGCAAGGTCGCCAAGAGGTGAGCTACGCAGGGGGTTGCAGGCAGGAAAAGGAAGCGTGTGTTGAGCATCGCCACCACAAAGGCAGAAACAGCTCCAAAAATAGAAAGCAACAGAGACCGACGACATGGTTCGCCACCATCGCTTATCGCCTCAACAACCCAAACCCTTTGCTGGTGAACGACGGGACGAGTTTCACTTGCACACCACGCGTCGGACGAGATTCCACAAGCGCTCTGGATCGACCATCAAAGGTTGATATCTTCGCGACAGCAGTGGGGAAATCGCCTAGGCCGAGAAGGCGAGAAGGGCCAGGACGTTCATGTGGAGAGTCTTCCACGGATGCATCATTCCTCAGTGTCGTGGTAACTCCCTCTCATGTCGAGACCTTCGAACACTGTCCCAGTGGGTAGCATACCTCACACGTGGCACTACGAGTGTGGAAAACCAACTGGAGGGTATTTCAGAAAGCGCTCGGGAACGTCGGGGTGTCCGCCACAAACCCGAGAGGGAGAGAGGGAGACAGAGGCAGAGAGACAGACAGAAAGAGACCGCATCCTCGACTTCGGAAATGGCTCCTGTGTTGCGCGTAACATTGTTGTGATAGGAACATACCTTCATCGTCGTTCCAGTCTCCACCAGATCCACTACCGCGTCCGCCAATCCCAGCCCGCAAGCTGCCTCCACCGAACCGGACACATACTTTATCTCTAAACAAAGAAAACCGTTTGCAAAGAATCATGGGAGGAGGGGGGTTCATGTGTTCACACGCCAGTTGGCACGAACTCTGTGCTTCCGAAAGCCGACCCACTGTACCGCGTCCTCCTTTCAAAATTGACGAAACAAACCATACCAGCAGGTACTTATATTTATAAATTCAGAATTCCAAAAAAAGGGTTCAAATACAGAAATAGAAGTCTCGGAACAACAAAAAAATGTTCTCACTCGTGGGGTTATCCGGCGTATCGTACTGGTCGAAGAACGCCTTGCACACAGCCGGAAATGACGTCACGATGCGCTTCCCGGAGAGCGTCTTGACGTCTGTGATGCCGGCCGACACCGGAGCCTGCACGCACAGCCTACACTTTCCGAACCCCAGCTCCTGTTGCGGGGGGGGGGGGGGGGGGGGCGCGATAGACAAACGCAGCGGTGTATTAGAGAGACGGCAGCTATTCTTTTCGGTGGGAGGGGGTGGAAGAAGTAGCAACCCCCAGCTTCCGGTTGCCAAGCGAGAGACGAACAAATACAGCAGATGACGTCCAATAAATACATACTGGCCGGGGAGGTGGAAGCACAAAAATATACCCGTTGTGTTTTTTTGCTACAATTGGAACAGGGCAGGTAACACACGCCAGACCTAACGTAACAATGCGATGTGATACGCGCACCGACACAAACGGGTTTCAGCCATGTTTGCTGGGCGAGGAAGGGTTAAGGGCACCGACGGTCAGCTATCAGAGGCTTAATTGAAGGCGGCCAACGCGTTTGTTGCACGTGCTGGGCTCCGGTTCTCCTGCCATGAACAGAAGCAGGGGTGTAGTAAAGTGCTGCAACATCGCCGCGGCCTGGTCATGTTTAATACTCCGTATTCTTGGTTTTCCTCATTTCTTGGCGTGCGACAATTATGTCCATGACTGCGTATAGCATGTCTCCCGCGCGGGCACCTACGACAACCGCCCACAGCATTCGGAAGTTGAAGTTGAATTTCTTCACATTCTGTCAAGCGTTCTGCCGTGAGTCTGGCTGTGTTTTGTGCCGCCAACGAAACGAAAACGAACTCACAACACAGGGAGAGCCAAACAAAATAGTCCCGTCGTGTTCCCAAGCTCGCTTGCCATAGCAACCTATCGCTCACACGTCCCACATATAACGCAAACACCGACAATGATTCGGTGATTTCGCATCGCCAAAAAACACAGACAAAGCTCCAACACAAGCTAACGCACAGAAGCAAAAGATAATTTCTTCCAGTTTCTTTCGAGCTCGCTCACCATGGCAACCTCTATCTCGGAGTCGTCCGACGTTTCCTTGACGACGTCCAGCCCGGTGATGCCGATATCGACGTTCCCCTCCCCGACGAACATGGCGATGTCGTGCGCGGGCAGGAAGACGAGGGTCACCGGGAGGTCGCTGCACTGGGCGATGTCCACTCGCGCGGGCTGACGTTTCCACAGCAGCATCGCGTCGCGCGTTTTTTCGCCAATTAAGCAAGGGGGATGAGAGAAAAAACGCAGGCTGGGTGCTGAGACGGGTGGCTTCTGGGGTGAAGATGAAACACCAATTTCACTGCTCTGGAGGTACACACTTATCGGTGCGTGGGGGTCTTGTGTGAGCTAGATCGCGTTTACTTAGGGGCTGGGACAATCGGTATGCAACGGCTACAGCTCTGGTACTATCACCACCGCCCGCGCCTTGCATTCTGCCATTCGTTGCAATAACACACCCACCATAGCTGTCGGCGGAAACAGAAACAGAAACAGAAACACGGCGTTTGTTAACCTGGCATGTATCGTAAATCCTGACTTAAGCACGTCCGTCCCTGCGCATCCTTCAACGTGAGGACGCGAATAACAGGGCAGTTTTTCGCCACTTCCTGGTACCCGATGCGCCGAAGCTTCTGTCGCCATCCAATCCATGTCAAAACCTCGGCCAGACCACTTCCCACAGCTCCGTAACACAACAGAAAAATAACGCCAACACAAGGGGAAAATCGAGGCCGTTCGTCATCCCCCGAACCCGCCTGCGGGCGGCGCACGAATCGGCGTTCTTCCTCCCACTGCCGCTCCAGAGTGCCGCCAAAAGAAAACAGAAAGGAACCAACAAAAGCGCTTCGCGCGACGGCAGAAAATCGAACAACACTACTACAGTATCAAAAGGTGAACATGCCTTATGATTAAAATGCACCGATTTTTCCTTCGTGACGGTGGCCCGTCCCGACCCAACCATGGGGAAGGAATTCAGTTACACCGCCGTGAGGTGGGGAAAAGGAGTCAGTCACCTCCTGGTTGATCCCAGACCGAGAGCCGCGATCCGCGGCAGCTCGTTGGGGAGTCGGGGGTTTGTAGTGGGAGGCGCGTCGTTAGAGCTCCTTGTCGGCGTCACGAAGAGCTGTTCCTACGCCACGCTCTTCGCTTCGTCATTTCGTGTGTGAGTCGGGACCGAACCGCTACGATGAATCTCAACGCCGTCACCCCTCCAAGAAAACAAACACACGCACACAGATTTCTTCTGTTATTGCCCACGGTATCTATCTTGCAATCCGGAGAGTAGCATAGCCTCCCCCATCACGCCCTCTCACGGGGTCCCAGATCATGATCTTTGGGAGCGCTTGTGTTTTCAACCGCAGTGAGACTGACGCCTTCTCATTGGTCAGCCGATTAGCGGTCGATGCTAAAAAAACAATACACACAGACACAGACACACACACAGACACACACTCACCCTGCGGTGGTCCATACCCGCCCCCGCCAAAAGCTTCATGCAGCGATCGTACAGCCTCCCCTTCTTGGGAACTGCCATCACCACGTTGTCGGCCGGGATCATGGAGTTGTTTCCCGTTACCGTCGCCATGGTCCACGCGACAATCGGCCGTTCGTCGCTCCTCGTGTCTTTTTGAAAGCTTGTTTCCCGGAGAAAAAGCGCCACACACGAGAGAGTTGCGGAGTTCGAAACAGCAGTTGATACGTGACACGAGACAAACTAAGAGTCGAGATGCAGTGGAGCACATGCCTCGGAGTGGTGGCCATGGCGATCAACCAGGAGGCAAAACTCATAAATCACGGCGCATCACAAAGGCCAACGGCACTCACAAGCTCATAATTGTTGCCGTAGCACCATCTACCATCACAAATCCATATGCATATCACGCACCATAATTCATACTACCATGCGGTTCTGTAGTGCAGACCACGAATTGGAGTTGCGTAATGGTGGCTATCTGCAAGCAAAATCTCTATAATAGTTGCCTCTTATGTAGGATGTTCATTCGTTGATGATTGCTGTTACGTGTTTGTGTGGTGTCGGCTAAGGCCAAGCTCAAAACATGCAGCGACACACGGAGCTTCTCATGCATATGATAATCATACAACTGTGGCTGTGGGTGTACATCCTTACATGCGCAACATTGTATGCATGTGCATATGCATTATGAACGCATACCATAACCTACACTAGGTAGCGTAAGATAGCACCCCCCCCTCGATTTTCAAAGCTTGATGACATACAATATTAGTTTTTGGTAAAGCCCATGTCCCAAAAGGACGCAAAAAACAAGCGATGCATTGTCGGAAAGCTCTCTCGATGAGACTGTTCCAACGCCGCAATTTACGGTATCGCCACTATTGTGCTGTGGAGTGTAGTCGAGCTGTGAAAACCGGTCCGGAACGCTAAATACTTCGAAGTATCTTACCTGCGGTATCCACATCCTGCACGTGCGAGTTGCTGCAAAAAAAAGGGGAAGAACCTATTGTGGACAACAAAGAAAGAATAAAACATAACGACTGTCTCCACCTCAACCGCCATCTGATAGAAACAGCGCGACACACACTAGCAGGCCGTCTGTGTCTACGAGTCCAACAACGTCGCTGAACTCAACTTCCAATGCAAGCTATGCATAAACGCATAAACCGATTTGTACCGCAGGTCTGGGGCTGCGCGATGGACCTACGACAACAGCAGTCCCTTCTGTCAACCAGTTGCTTGACCTCTGACATGCCCTTCTTCCATCGCGAGTCCAGGATATGCGGCGGCAGCAAGAATAGTAGCTGGCACCAGTACGTGCAAGGGCGCAACCACATGCAGCAGCCCGTGACAGCAGCCGCAGTGGCACCTGTGGTGTCAAGAGTTGGGTTGTATGCGTATGTTGCGCGCCTGGCACATGATTGCTGTGTGCTTCGTAACAGAACCGTCCAGCCGCATCTACCCAACCTTTCGCACCAGTCTTAAGCAGGGACCAACTCACCTGGAGAGGTGGGTAGATAGCACGCGGAGACAAAGAGCGTACCACCTGCTTGTGTGGGGGCCGTTGCAGTGTTGCTCGCTGGCTGGCCGGGCGTGCTCTCTAAGTTGGCCCGCAGATTGGATGGCCGGGTTCCGTGGGGATGGGCTACTCTTGAAGCAAAATGCACTTCGCGTGGACTCTGCCTGCCTCAAGTCCCTCGTTCAGCGATACCACTCGTACCCCGGCTCCACAACCCACTGTGCCCAGGCCTTGCACCAAAACTCGTTCATAAGGTAGGTTGTCTGCTCCTTTCTGGCAGTACCCTTGTTGGTGGTGTGTGTACGCCCGAGACACACATCCAATTGCCTTCTCCATTTGAAACCGTACCGCGCAGCAGCAGCAGCAGCAGAGTCACCACAAAGCAGCTCAAGCCGCAGAGCTTGCTGCCCGTTGTCAAGGCCAAGAGGAGCTTGTGCGTGACAACGTGCGGTGAAACCAAATCACTGCGTGTGCAGGACACGTCGGTCTGCTAGACCGTCTGTATGGGACCCAACGTTGAACGGAGGGAATTGTGAACGTGTAGAGAGCTATATGAATTACCGTGTTCATCGAGACCTACAGCAGTACATCTGATCGACGGCAGCAGCAGCAACCTTCGCGCTCTACTTGGCTTCCCTGCCATTGTATCTACCCGCATGTTTCGGTGTCACTCGGCCCCGGCAAGCACTTCTGGCCTCCTGTGTTTTGAAGAGTTTTTTTGCAGTGGCACCAGTGTATGACGGAAGATACCACACCCTACAGTAACAGTTCGGTCCTTAGTGTGTAAGGCCGCCTTAGCCGTAACTAGACACCCAGATTTCACACCCAGACCAAGAGTTCGTCCGATAAGCTCCGCAGAACTTCCGGAGTAAAAGTGTGTCGGGTCTTAACCGCTTCTTCCAAAACCAGACGCAGAGTTGAGTGTGCTGCACGACAACGATGGTTGAGTTTGCACTGGCTCGCGGCTGTGTGTAGATGTGCAGCCGGGGCTGCAGCGATCCCCCTGAGCTGTGGACGCGGGCCGGGACAACCTCTGACACAAACAGACTCGGCGGGAGGGGGGCAACACCACAGAGAACTGCGGCATATTTGCTGCAGTTTATATCCTTGCGGCGCCAGTAGCAGCAGCAGTGGCGCTGCTGGTAGGCATACAAGGAGGGCGTGTTGACTCTCCCTCGTGCTGTGTGGCAACGCGGCGAGAGCGAAACTGGTTAATATCGTGCAGTCTCGAGTAGACGATCTTTTCCGATTTCTAGATTTGCGGTTCGCTCAACTCTGGTTGTCTTTTCAATTTTTGAGGGATGTTATTCTGTTTTGACCCAGGGTTCAGGTTTTGCTGAAACTTGAGCTGGAAAAAAAGCTATCAGCGGTCTTGTCACCATTTCATCCAATCAAACCGAGACTTGTGGATCTTTCCGCTTTTAACTCTTGGTCTCGGTGCCAAGTCTGGGTGCACGTTCCCAGCTAAGACCCGGTCTAACCCGCTGCAGGTTGTACTGACCTCTACCCTGTTCGTTTTGCACATCCGGGCGACGGTGCTCGTGGAACGGGCTCAACAGCCAAACCGGTTTAGAAGAGGAAAGTCCGAAAACAGCACACCACGCACAATCCATAGTCACCATGGCGTCGTTTCACTCTCATGTTCCTTCGACCATGCCAAACAATAGCCTTTCACGGACGGTGTTGAGACACATTGGTTCCTGGAGAGGAGGCTGGAACGCCAAGGGAGCGACATCGAGATTGCAGCAACTACAGCTAGTCTCTCCCGTTTTCTGACGTGTTCCTTATCATCGTTCGCAGCAGGCCGAGAGCAACGTAGGACTCAAAGACTCAAACAAGAAGACACTCCACCCGCAACAGCTAGAGCTGCAACCGCCTGTTTTACGGCGGCGGTGGATCTATCTACCCAGGGCAGTTTCATGGCAGAATTTGCGGCTGACGTACCGGATGAAGGGAAAGGGCCGCCGCCGGCGACAGCAGCAAGCGGGGGCGGGGGCAGGGAGGAGGATTCGTACCCCCTCACCATATTTTACTGCGGAGGTGGGTTCGACGCTGAGACTATCGATGTATTTTTTTCTTTTACTATCTTGACATGCAAAACGCTCTGACCTCTACTGGCTGTATCCCGTGCGTTTTCTTCCCTACTTGCGAGGCAAAGGAACGAGTTTTTGTGGTCAAAAGCTTACCCAAGTCAGCAAGGGGCAAGCCATAGAAATAGAAAGACTCAACGTAAGCCCGTAACACTCGGCGCCAAAAAAAAATCTAGATCTTACCTCTGGATAGCCCTCCCGACGTCGTGCGACAGATTTTCAATTTATCTCTATCAATGCTGTCACGTCCAAACCCTTACTTGGTGGTAAAACCCCGGTTTTCCTCTCTAGGTGCAGGCTTTTTCCATGCCCCTTTGCGGCGAAACAGTTGCAAGAGCGCAAATTCGTACAGCTGGAATGAGCGTCAACATCATACTTCTATATGAACCAGCGTCAATAATATATATGAACGGAGCTCTTATCCCGAGGCTTGGAACTCTCCCTCGCGTTAGGGTTAGGGTTTTGGGTACCATATATCTGCTTGGCGTGCAAGCGATCGTGAAGCTATCCTACTAAACTGCCTTCTGTGTCTGTTTTTTCTATGAAGTGGGTTTTTCTGGGGCAAGGACGAAAATATACGTAAAGAGGGTGATGACAACCCCCTGAATCAGTCTCCTTTCTATCCTATACAATAGGAAGCCGCAAGCGAAAATGACCTGCCGGCTCAGAAAGTGTTGATGTTCGATGGGTAATCAGTAGATGACGTCATGGCGCAGCGAACAGCGTGTTGGCATGCCCACAACCTGTCACAACCACACCGCCCACACACCCGCAACCGAAACTCGCCCACGCAACCTCCGAGTAAAACGTTGTGCAACATTCCGTACTTGCAACAGTTTGTGGACTACCTCCCGAGTACTGCGAGTTCGGCTCCACCGCGGAAGCCTGCAGAGCGTGGGCGGAGGCGAACTGTCCAGAAGTATTGGCCGTCGAAGAGGGGATAGCGGGACTTGAGGTGCGGCACGTTTTATTTTTTGTTATTTTGTGTTGTTTCTTCTTGGAAAGGCTGCCTTGTGCGTTTGTGTTGTCAGTGTTAATGTCGGGAAGGAGCCGGCCAAAACTGAGTTACAACCTTAACCTTCGATACCTGCGCCGTACGTGTGTGGTTGTGGTTTTTGTTGTTGCCCTCGATGTGTGTGCAAAGGGGCTGGTGTCGTCGCTCTCCGTATCCTTGTTGCTGCGTGGAAGAAGGGCAAAAATGTTACCGCAGCCAGGGAACACCCGAAACGCAAGGGAGGGGGCCACGGTTACTCATTTCTGGATTTCCAGCAGCAGCACTTACAAAGCTCGCTTGCTTCCCGCCCCGGTTACGTTGCCTGGCAGGCAATAAGAAACAAACACGGACTCGTAATTGGGTTTGTCCGCGAAGAACCCCATGACACAACAGGGCACATATACCTCGAAACCTCTACCATGTTCCTCTGACATACACCGTCGTTCGTCTCTCGTTCTTGTTGCCCCTCCCGTCTTCGTCGGCTTTGCTGTTGTTGGTGTTGGTATCGTTGCCGTTGTATTTGCCGCTGTCGTTGCTGTTGCTTTTGTTCGTTGCCCAACCAGGTTCAAGGAGATGCGGGCGGGGAAGCGGCGGGGGGGGCGGAGAGGGCTGCGGGGGGCGAGGAAGAGCCAAAGAAGAAGGGCAAGAAGGTGCGATGGTGCTGCTTAGGGATTTGCTTCTTGCGCGCAATGTTGTATTTGTGCGTGTGTGTAACCGGAGGAGGAAACTAAAAACCCCGTCGTCGAGAATGGCGTAAGGCGTTTATCTCAAGCTTGAACCACCAGCCTATTGGTACCACCTGCCTTCGCTTCCTTTGTTTTGTATTCATACCGACACAACTCCACCTAGACCCTTGGATACTCTCATGAAAGAACTTTCGTGTTTGGCTCACGCATTCTTCCTCTCTCCTGGCCAGTCTTGCCTCGCTCCTTCAGTGGTGTTGCTGAAGAGCTGGGGTCTTACAAACGGCTTCCTCTCGCTGAGCCCCTACTCATCTACCCGCCCACCGTCCTTCTACGATTTTCATTTGTTGTATGTCACCCCCCGATTGTGTCGCAGGTAAGGATAGCAAAACCTGGCGGCAAGAAGGCGGCCGGAGGGGAGCAACGAGTCGTCATCGGGCGCCTTTCCCGGAACCGCCGCAAGTTTGTAACCGTCGTCGGGGGTCTCGACACCTTCCCAGGTGGGTGGATCCTCGCTGCGTATTGTTTTACATTCGAAATCTGTTGGAAAACCCAACGATCAAGTACTCAAGCTTCGTTTCTGTTCCAGTGGCGGCCCTATATAGTGCGGGTATGTGCCAAGCGCTTTCACCCGCACTTTAGAGGGCACCCGCACTGTTGCAGAGTACTTGCACTTTATGCTGCCGCCAAACTGTTGCTCCGTACAATGGTGTACGCGTCGTGGATAGTGGAAATGACCGGTCACCCGGCCGGGTTGTATTTAGCAGGTTGTGAGTTCGATTCTCTCTCTGGAGGATATCTTTCCCTCTACTGTAGTTTGTAGTGGAACACGAATTGCATTCGTGGGTATCCGCACTTCGACAAGGGAAAGGGACGGCTGAACCTTTCTCGCGACAAAGTTAAGGCAAGCACCGCGGGAGGAAAGGTTACGGTGTGACCTTCCTCGTGTACGACCCCGGCTGACATGTCAAACATACACACCGAGAGGTGTACACACTGTCCCAACACTCTCAAGATACATGCTTGTATTTTTCCACCACTGTACCAAACAAGGCAGTATTCTTTTGTCTGATTTGTGCTGGCGAGACCCGTTAACATATTGCACGAGTAAGTGCTTTATCGTTAGACCGTCTAGTTGGAGACGATGATGTGCGTACTTTGCTGCGGTGGATTGTGGTCAAGGGTTTTTCTACGGTACCTGCGCGGATTCCGGGCCACGTACAAGGATTTGCAGCTAATATTGACTTGCAGTACACGAATCAACGGGGATGGATGTGGGCATATCCGATGCGCTTTCCCTCTATCTCGAATGAGGAGTTCGATGAAACTGTTGCTTGCGAGTGTTGTCGATCAGATCTCCTTGTGTGTGAACTGCACGGCGCACGATGCATGGGCAAACGCAAGAGCGGGATCTTAAGTTGAAGCGTCAAATGCATTTGCGCCGTTCACATTTGAAGCCACACAGTCAGTCGCATACATGCGGCCGCCGTGCTCTGTTTGGTGCGGTTCGACACAACCCCAGACGTCAAGATCAAAGACGCAGCAAAAAAGATCGGCAAGCAGTTCGCGTGCGGATCCTCCGTGAGCAAGGCACCCTCTGGGGCGGAGGAGGTGGTGATCCAGGGGGACGTGCTCATGGACTTGCCTGGCTTCCTCGAGACTACTCTCAACGTGAGAAGCGTTTGTTGTATTGTTTGCGTAGTTCTATTTTGTTATCGTCCGTCGCCAAGTACCCATACCTTCCTTCTTCAGTTCCTATGCCGTGGTCGTGGAGTACATTGTAGGAGTTCAGAACGAGCTTGCACGGAGTTTTCGAGCCCCCGTTGGACGTGTATCCTGTTGTGTTCGTACAAGTACAACGTTGCTATACGTTTCAGTGCAACTTGTGCGGAAGTTCTCTCTCTAGTTGATCAGTGGATAGTTTTTGTTCTTGACCGGGTTTCTGCTGTTGTCTCGCGTTGTGCGTGTCATCAGGTTGTGTTACTCACCGATACAAGCACGCCAGGCAAGCCCAAAAACCTCTGCTGGGCAGGTCCTGGTTATCCTCGCGGGATTGAAGACGGTTTAAAAAAGCCCTGCACAACTTTCGTACCCTCTCCATCAGCTGAACCCGTTTTTTTCGTTCGCCATATTCTGTCATCGTCTCTCTCCTCCCTTTGTACCCTTTCAGATCCCAGCGGCCAAGATCAGCGTCCTCTCGACATCATAGTTCAGGGGGATTACCCGCCGTTTCCTGCACGTACGGGCATGTGCTTGCTTGGTTGTACAAGTGTATGCGCCGGCCAGGGAAGTCGAGAAATAGCTGATATTGTAGGAAGCCGTGAAATGTGGCTGCTTTTGGCCATCTATCCCGTTGCCATTTTTCACCTAGGCGTCCGCCGCGCCACACCAAATGTCCATGGATCCGTGTCCCCCTAGTACGGGTCTCTGTTGTAGCGTCGTGCAGACCCCCACTGAGTCTTGCGTTCCAACCAGGCATTCAGTGTGCGTTCACGGTCAGCTCCTACTAATGAATCGGTTGACCTGCGAAGTCTGCAATCGATCCCCCGAGGTTTTGCAACCATTGAACTCTGGTTTAGACTCACTCGTCGAACGCGTACAACGCTGTGAACGGCTTCTTCTACCCGACTTGCGGGTGCGTGGAACTGTATGCTACCAAGTGGCTCATCCTGCTGCTCTGCTGCTGGTGTACTCAGCCGGTGACTGACAAATGAACAGTGGCGCTTGAGATTGCAGTTTGCGCAATCAAGTATTAGAAATTTATTTACAGACGGTGTCGCCCTGGTGTAGGTGAAACCTTTTTACTGGGGGGGGGGGGGGGGGTAATGATCATCTCTCGATGGATGGGTTATCTACAGTGGCATCTGCACTCCAGGAAATGTCCCTCGCGAACACCCACCAACGCTTCACGATGTGGGACATATCGCGATGAATACGCATTCATGTGTGGACAAGAGCAAGGGCTTTGCGGGCTCTCGCCAACATCGTTATTAAGAACTAACACACCGTCGTTGAGAACCAACGCACGCTCGCACCCACCCCGCAGTTTCCCACACACACACAGTGTTTTGGCGTGGGGAGCTTGCCGTGAGAATATAACGTGGGTCATCCGTCGTGTAGCTTCCACGTGTGCGAGACGGCGATTGAACTTGGTCCCGCACTGAATGGGGTGTTGGCGTCCCGATGTTGTGTAAATCTGCTTGGGCAACACCTGTTGCTCGGGTAGTTGCCAAGGCGATCGCCGCACGATAGTTTTATCACGTTTGCTGCAACTTGTAAGCGCTTTCACGCAGTGCAGGTGTTACAGCCTTTCTAAAAACAGTAGCCATGGTCGCGGCAGTGACACTCATTGGCCCCGAGAAAATCGATCGACTCAGTGATTATTCTGCTGGCGAGACGAGCTCTTCATCAATCAAGAGAAAATACAACAACACTGCCCCCCAGGTTTCGCTAATTGTGCCTCGCAGCAAGGGCGAAGACCTTTACGGCAATCAATCCATAGGAACGAGTTGAGCTCCATCCACGGGCACGAGGAATCCACACGAGGGCTGAAATATATTCCATGACTTGCACGATGTTGTCAGCGTTGTCGCCCCCGACTACTGACAATGACGAAGCAAATAGACGTAGCTGCTAACAACGCCGCAAACTCTCTCACCACACCCACTCTAGTCGTACTTCGCGCAGGTGACCATTAAGGCGTGGTAGGTGATGACGTCGGGGACAACTCCCGACCCGCGCATTTCCTCTAGTAGGGCTATGCCTTCCTTCCACTGACCCCCCCGTACACACGCGTCGATGGCCGAGCTGTAACTAATGATGTTGGGAGTCAGACCTGCCGCCCGCATCTCGCCCAGTAGCGCCACAGCCATTTTCCACCGACCTCCTTTGGAACACGCGTCGATGGCCGAGTTGTAGCAAATGAGATCGGGGGCAAGCCCTGCCGCGCTCATCTCCTTCAGTACCGCCAGGGCCTCCTTCCATTGATCGCCCTTTGCGCACGCAGCGATGGCTGAGCTGTAGCTGAAAACATCGGGGGAAAGCCCTACCGTCGGCATCTCTCTCAATAGGTCAACGGCCTCTTCCCACTGATCCCCTCGCCCACATGCATCAATGGCGGAGTTGTAGCACACCTCATTCGGAGCAAGTCCTACCGTTGCCATCTCTCTAAGTAATTCTTTGGCCTTAATCCACAGATTCCCTTTTCCACACGCATCGATGGCAGAGCTGTAGCTGAACACGGTGGTGTGTAGCCCCACAGTCGGCATCTCTCTCAGCAGAGCCAAAGCCTCCTTCCACTGCTCCCCCTTTGCACACGCGGCAATAGCTGAGTTGTAGCCAATGACTCTCTGCGTAACACCCGCCGTTGGCATCTCCCTCAGCAGACCCTTGGCCTCCTTCCACTGTCCTCCCTTTGCACATGCATCGATGGCAGAATTATAGCTGATGGCGTTGGGGGATAGCCCGACCGTCGGCATCTCTCTCAGAATATCGATAGCTTCCTTCCATCGATCCCCTTTTGAACAAGCATCAATGACTGAGCTGTAGCTTACGACGTCGGGGGGTAGCCCTACCGTTGGCATCTCTCTCAGGAGATCAATGGCCTCCTTCCACCGACCGCCCTTTGCGCAAGCATCGATGGCTGCATTGTAGGTGATGATATTGGGAGCTAACCTCATTGCTTTCATCTCTCTCAGCAGATCCAAAGCAATCTTCCATTGACCCTCCTTAGCGCAAGCGGTGATGACTGAGCTGTAGCTGATAACATTGGGGGTAAGTCCTACCGTCGGAATCTTCCTCAGCAAGCTCACAGCCTCCTTCCAACGACCCCCGTTGGCGCACGCAGCGATGGCGGAACCGTACGTGATGACATCGGGGGCTACTCCCGACGTGCGCATATCCTCGAATAACTCCAAAGCTTCCTCCCACCGCCCCCCCCTTCCACATGCCGAGATCGCTGAGCTGTAGCTGATGACATCGGGGGCCAGCCCTACTGTTGCCATTTCCTTCACCAAACTCACAGCAATCTCCCACTGACCCGCCTTGGCACACGAGTTAATTGCTGAGTTGTAGATGATGACGTTGGGAGTAACATCCCGTGCGAGCATCTCTCTTAGGAGATCTAACGCAATCTTCCACCGACCACCCCTTGCACAGGCGTTGATGGCTGCGCCGTAGCTGCGGGCGTCAGGGGCTATGCCTTTCGTCGGCATCTCCATCAGAAAGAACACAGCCATCTTCCACTGGCCTCCCTTCGCACACGCATCAATGACTGCGCTATATGCGCTCAAATCAGGGGCAGCCCCTTCAGTCGGCATCTCTCTCAGTAGCCTCACAGCCTGTTCCCACTGCCCCCCCCTCCCACACGCAGTGATGGCCATGCAGTACGATTTCTGATCGATGAGCCAGCCAGGCAACTTTTTCATCCCATCTACAGCTCTGAGCGCTTTTCTCCAGTCCCCGCTCCTCGAATCGTAAAGCATTTTTTTCATCTCCGTGAGAGATTTGGTACCCCCCTCCACCGCACCCTGCCTTCTCCTTGAAGGTCGACTTGCCCCAGATCTCGAATTGGGCAGGGATTGTCGTTTACTATTTCCGCCCTCAGCCCTAGCGATGTTATTTGCGGCGTCCGAACCGGGAGAAAGAGCACGGAGCTCGAACGGCATTCCTGTTTTCAGCCATCTTCGGACGGCGCGCCCATTTGTCCGCGTACGTCGATATATACGGGAGGCCCGGTGGGCCCTTCTCGAGGTAACACAGGTCTCACGCGGGGGCATCACATCATGCGAACTCTGCCGATTCGACGCATGAAAATCTGATACAGGGGCACACAGCAGCGCACGCCAACGGAAGATGCATGTCAATGGTGCCATGTCGGGTCAAACGTGCAATATACAACCGGAGAATATGCAATCGACACGAGGTTTTTAAAAGGACAAACAACCTCTTACACCCGGCGCCACAGCAGCAAACATCTACTTCCCGGAGAATGTGCGACCTGCAACACGAGGAAAAACACATGTCAACCTTGCATCTTGCAGACACAGCAGTGACATGCTTGTAATCAAGAACCTGAACACCTAAATACTACTACGATGGGCACCCGGGCCCAGCCTTAGCAGTGATATACGTATATTGGCAGTGCCCAACTTTGTTTACTTGCTATTCGACCGCAAATGCATTTGGTAACAGAGTGGAGGGGATCTTTTAGATGAAACGTTGGGCTTGTTGTTAGCACTGCTGTCGTACGTACATACACACATACCATGCTTAACGAATGGTTGTTGGTCACCAACAGCACTTCAAGACCGAGGTCGCGGCACAAAGCAGACGTTGGGGGCAGCGGGTGCTAGTACGGCGGGCCTTTTCGCTCGATATAAAAGGCGGCATGTGCCCTTTGGTTTGCCGGACCGAGCCGGAAAAAAATCGGCGCCATTTCGCCGCCATGCGATTCGTCCCGGGCTTTCGCTTGAGCCAACGAAATCTCCTCGCTGCACGAAGAGTGAAGCTCTTACGGCTGCGGCGAGATACATGTACATGCACTTAAATGTATTTAATGGAGCACCTGCCCATGCCCCAAGTGGGGAAAGAAAGCCTGTGAAATCAACTCGGGTTGATTTTTATTGATTTTGAAAACAACTGAAAGAGCGCTCAGCGCTCACACACGAGACGGATAAGACCAGTTGGGAAGTGTTCCACAGGGAAAAATGTTCCAGTTGTCGCACAGAGCAGCGGTTGGGACTCGTCTTTACCAGCGTATCACGCAGCCTACCTCCACACAACTTGTCTCAAATCAAGACAAAACAGGCGTCACGGCGAGTGCTTGAACAAGGTCTCTGCTTTACAAAGTGTTGATGTTCCATGGGAAGTTTGTAGAGGATATCATGGCATAGCGTTGACAAGCCCAGATGTTTTGCTGGGGCCGTGCTGTCGAAGGCTGCAGCTGCCGCCCGAAGCGTCCCCGAATCTGGGTGAAAACCTTTCCCGGCCCACTGCCCTACGCACCGTCATACACCCAACCTCCTGAACTGTTGTGGAGAGCAGTAGCTAACACCACTTTCTGCCTTGGACGACCACCAGTACGGGCGATCGGGGCGTGACAGCGCGTACCGCAGTGGATCGTGACTTGACGTGTAGACTCAGACTAGCGGGTGCTTCGGGTCGCAGCTGCAGCCTGCGGCAGCACGGCCCCAGCAACAGACTTGGGTGTGCCAAAGCGCATGCCGCTGCTCCATGATGCCTTCTATTGGCATATATGCCAGGTCGGGCCGCAACGCAATGGCCTTATTTGAGCACCCGCCGTGTCGCCTGTTTCGTCTTGAAAATAATCTGGGGGGAGTTTTGTCTTGCTTTGAGAGAAGGTGAGTGATGGTAGACTACGTGACATTGGAGACAAGCCCCAACCTCTGCTCTGTGTGACACCCCGCGGAATTCTTGTTGTGTAACACTTCCCGACTGGTCTCACGCGCCTCGTGTATAATTGCTGGATGCTCCACTGTCGTTTTCGAAATCAGTCAAATCAAGATTGGTTGGCAAGAAGCCCTTAATCCTTGTGACCACGGTTCCGATTTCAGTTCCTATTGCAGTTCCGACTGCTTTGTGTGCAGAAAGATCACGGGCGTGCCTCGCCAAAGAGAAAAAATGATACGAAGAGATCAGCAGGGAGAGCCAAAGAGGCAGCCCAACACAGTGTCACCGTTCCTAATCTCTCTGATGTGGGGCAGATGCCCTTACCAGAACTAACGGACTGCCAAAGATCTAAACGGAAAATACCACAGGCGGGTACAATATGCACCCTTCAACGCGTAATCAACCCGGCCCCGCGTGCGCGCGAGAGAGCAGAGACAATGTACACCTCAGCCGATGCGAACAAGCAATAACGTACTGCCTCGGTGCTTGCTGTTGCTCTGTTTGCGGTGTGTGGTTCCCGGTATTGGGAGTGAAACGAGGTTCGCCTGCTGTGCGATTTTTTGCAACACAGTTTCGAAGTAGTCATATTTTGAGTACTGCTTGCACAGGTACATCCACTGCGCTGATGGTTGCTGTCAGAGACAGTAATGTAAATGGCACATCACCCGGGTTGCATGTCCCACAAAGGCAAAACAAAATGGTGTGCCTTGAGTTTCCGTGGTACCTCGCGTTCGCCACTATAAATTGTTGCCCTATGATACCATCTGGCCAACACCAAATTTGACCTTCACAGCTCTCATGACCCCGAAAAGAACGATCCCGTCCAAACGTTGGCGCTGTAGCGACTTACATACAAGGGTTGGCCAAGTTTGATCGCTACAACCGGAGCTAGCGAGGGATAACGGCCTGTAGCTTAGGATATCGGTTGCTGTGGGAGCTCCGCATCTTGTGTTGTCACAGCAACAACGGAAAACAATCCATCGCTTTTGTGGAGACCTGTAACCCGGGTGCCACGTACTGCTGAAAATCGCAAATCCTCGCTCCTCTATTGCCCAGTACTCCTGTTGGTTATGCCCACGCCCCCATCCCTATGAGCCCCACACATGGACTTGTACTTATTCATGTATCATCCTGCCCGCCGTGTGTATGTGTGTTTGCCACCATTGCGAATGTGTACACATTCGCGAAGGTACACACATGGAGTAAAGATATTGGAGCACAGAGAGCCAGTTTTCGGGGAAGCAAGCAACAAGACAGCTCAACAATTCAACACACAACTCTCGGGAAAAGTGTTGCTCGCACCTGTGGACCCTGTGAACCCATCTCCACCATGTACGGACCACCCCAACACAAGCGCCTTCGCAAGGCGTTCCAGCCATGTGGGCATCCTCCCAGCTCGATCTGTGCACGAGTATGAAGGGTGACTGGACATGTGAGAACGGCGGTTGTTGCATTAGAGTTTCTTGGGGGGCAACATGCTGCCCAGGGACGTACCGGTTCAAACGAAGTCGTAGGGAGCGAATCACGTGCGCGACAATTTATCGACCGTGCAAGGGGGCCAACAGAACTGGCTGCTGTCGCGGTTGTGAACAGCCGGGCGGCAGCACGGCAGCAGAGGCTCCCCTGCACGACACTCCTGCACAAACTCCTTTGCACGTACAAAGGTCTACCGCGGTGTTGAATATACCTGCTGATGTTTGTTGCTGGTCCAGGATGCTCTCGTGTACTATGTAAATAGAGCGAGAACAAGGAGCCTGGTGCTCGAGGTGCTGCTCCACACGTCTCTCCCAAGCTCCCGAGCAACGCGTTTCTTCCTGCTTGTTGGCAGGGGGTTGGTTGTTCGCGGGAGAAAAAGGAGCGGTGCGGGCGCCGGCCACCGGCCAGCTGCGTGCCACGGTGTTCCAGGTTCGTGAGGCAGTGAGGCCTTCTTCCGGGGGAGAACCCAAAATTCCCCTGGTCTGGACTGTAAACTTCAAGCGGGTTTCAACCTATCGTTCACGTCCACCCTCCACCGCCGTGACGCCCAGCAGCCCAGCAGCAGCAGCCTACCCGCATCACACACGAACACACCTTCCTCACACACCTGCCTGACAACAGACACCCGCAAGAAGCAAGCTGCTTGAGGTGAGGACAACCAAGGGCGTCGCCGAAGGAGTGGGTAGACACTCTGTTGTTTTTGGAGTTAAGGTGGATCGATTTGGATTTGTAGATCATGTTTTCTCCTCAGGGCACGAGTGAGTGACGCATCCGCACCCCAGGTGAAGAAAACCATCTGCCATCCACACCCGCCCGAGAGAACACGGTCGGGTTCGGTGTGTCGCTGACATTCCCTTGCTGATACCCGAGGGCCCAAGCTCTCCGAAGTGTGAGATACCAGCAAGGCTGTCGAGCGAGTGCCCAGATGGTATGCAGGTCGGGGGCGCTGATGCCTGTCTCGTTGTTTTTTTTATCTTTTGCGACTCAGCACCGCGTGTGTCTCCTCGAAGCGGTACATGTGTAAAATGGGTTGCTGCTGCTGTCGAACTTAGAGATGCACCCTGTACCTCTGCCCTCGCCGTCGACACGAGGGAGCAACCCCCCGAGCATGTGGGGCGGCCTGGCACCAAGCACAGGCAAGCTGTTCGATCCTGGACAGTGTGTGGGGGTACTATACAACTACATGTACGCTGTTGTATGCACACGGTTATGATCTCGAAGTGCTGTATGTGCATACGGTCATGATCTCGAACGGAAACTGCTGATTAGTCCTCATCTGCTGCTGAAGTCTTGTGTATACTCAATCTTTGTACCACAAGATTCTGTATTTTCGTTTACTCGGAAATGTTCTCTGACTGACCCGTTCGTCCGGTGGCGGCCCTTTGCTTGTTGTGACTTCTGCTAATCTGAATCAATCTGTTGACTGCTTGCTGTAAACTAGAGCGCTGTAGTTTACTTAGCCTCTTGGACACGGCCACCTCTACTACATGTGGTCGCCTACATTGCTGTACGGCAGTTGCAGATAGCAAATTTCGCTCTCCGCTAAATCTGCAACCACTCCGAATCACTGGGTCTCACCCAGACCGATGCCTCTCCGCTTCAGGTGTCTGCAAGGAAGTTCGGTAGTAACGCAGACAGCGGGTCTATGGACAACAAGTATTTGTGTGTTTGTCCCATCAATGATGGCGCACCACTCTACATACGAGTTTCGGTGTACCAGTCTATAGTCTACACTGCGTGTTTGACATGTCAGCCGGCGTCGCACATCAGGAACATTTCCGTATTCGTCGTCAAAAATCACCGAACGGTTTGGTGTTTGACCGGCGCGCCCGCCTGCCTTTGACCAAGCCCGTGCTTGAAGTGCAAGAAGGTTGTGTACATAGCATACTTCTTGTTCTTGTGTTGAAAAGAATAATATTTGTCGTGTGCAGTCTCCTACGCCCGTGATGGTGGTACAGGGCTTGGAAGAGAATGTGGACTCGGCGAAAAGAGGGTATTCGAGCGTCGTGTGTGGGCGTGTGGCCAAGTCAACTCTGTTGTTTCGTTTTAACGTTTTTTGTGCTCCTTGTGGTCCGTCTCCGCTTCCCTTGTCGTTCTGCCAGGAGTATCTACCGTACTTTCGTGAGAATTCCACCTTTCGTGCAGCCCGGCGAGCATCCTCTCTCATCATCACATCATGCCTCCCACGGTGGTTGCAACGAGCGACAAGATGGACGAGATCTCCTCCGTGGCCAAGGACTACTACGACTCCGACAACGCCTTCAACTTCTACCGGCAGGTACAATACGACCGGCGTGGTCGCTTTGTGTCTCGCACGGTTCTTTCTGGAAAAAAGACATAGACAGCAGTAGTATTGGCATCAAGATCGACTACCGATGCGCAATTGAGCAGTACAAGATTCCGAAGAAAAATATTCTGCGGAGAGGATTCAGCCTCCGGATTTGAGTCGTGCCTGCGTTTTCTCGATCGTGTCATCAACCATGCAGTTCGGCTCGGCCGGTGGAGAATGCGCCCGCACTCGCACATGACGGAGACTTTGGCCATGTGACCTCGTTGTATCTCAAGGACATCAGAGAATTCCTTGAATCAAACATGCTCTCCTGTTTAGGGCCTGCACATCCACTGCTGTTTCGTAGAATATGGTCACGGATTTCAAGAGCGCTTTGTTTACTAAGCTCGGCTAGAATCAGCGATCAATTAGTACATACCTCCAATCAAGTTGTCTGAAGACGCCGAATGTTTTTTTTATGTACAGCAGTACACTGTAAAGACGGGTGCGCACCACGTCATAACTGGCGGCTGGCAGCCAGCTGTGTGCTTGTCCTAGTGCCTGTTGTTTTTTCGTGTTGCAGCACCCCCCTCCATTACACTGCTGTGCCCTCATGAGCCCACCCCGGGAAGTCCCTTGTAACTTCGTGGAAGTGCGACAAAACAACACGACAGCCACTTCCTGCGTGACTTTCCTCCTGTGTGAACCCATCTGATACGTCCAGGAGACAACCTGAACGACGTCCAGAATACATACGAAGACAGACCAACACAATCAGCACCACAAAACCCGAACATTTACGTCCGCGGGGGGGCCCGATTGGACCCCCGTGTGTGTGTATTGTGTATGTTCGGGTGCTTCCGTTGGATATGGGTTTTGTCTGTTGGCCCCGTGGACCGTGCTAGCCAGATGAGGTCAGCATATACTGTGCGTACACTGGCGAAGACGAAACTATCGGCTTCGGTTCGATTTCGGGGCGAGCCGGTCGCTGAAAAATCTACAGAGGACTGTCTGTAAAAACGTGTACCTAAGGTAGGTGTTTTGGGGAATAGCACCAGCTGGCATCACTGATGAAGCAGTGTATTGCCTTGTAAACAGACTCAAAATATGCTCAGTGCAGTATCCGGTAGGTTGTCTCCCCAACTCGCGGCACAAATCCTTCGAGGGAAGGGAATGGATGGAATGAACTCAAGTGCAACAAATATATGCACAATTTTACGCAATACATTGTGTTTGTCGGACGCTCCCCAAGCTCTCTCCTACGCGGCGCCCCTCACACCTTCCCCGAAAAAACCGACTCAACTACCGCACCCCTTCTTTTTGTCAAACTTCTTTAACATGAAACGAAAATAAATGGTTGTTTTTTCGAAAAACCACTTACACAATAACTATCCTGTCATCTGCACAGGTTTGGGGCGGGGAGCACATCCACGTGGGCCTGTACACCAGGCTTGAGGGAGAGGACGCGGAACTGAAGGGGGTGGACCGCATCACCAAGGCCAGCTCCCTGTGTACCGAAGAGCTGCTCTCCCGGTGCTTCCCCGCTGGCGCCACCGCCACCAGCGATGGTGAGGACGCGCCTCCCGCGTCGGAGTGCACGATGATGGACATGGGCTCCGGGTATGGGGGCACGGCGAGGGCGGCGGCCAAGACGCTCGGCTGCAAGGTGGGTCGCTGCTTCGGCACTACTGTGGCGGTTGACGCATCAGCATGGTTGCGGCACCGCTGTGGCAGTTAACAAATCAACAACAGGGGCTGTGGCAATTGACCAATCAGCAGGGTTGTGGCCCTTTTGTGGCTGTGGGTCAATCAGCAAGGTTGCGCCACTGCTGGTTTGCAAATTCAACAGGGTTGTGGCACCGCTGTTGCTATTGACCAATCTACACGCTTGTGGCACCGCTGTGGACATTGAAAACCAACAGGGTTGTGGCACTGCTGTGGTAATTGACGATTCAACAGGGTTGTTATTTTGAGGGGACGCGAGGTGCCGCCGATAATGTTCGAGCATGTTCCTAAATCTGATTGCTGCGTGCCCCTCTCGTTTCCTTTCTTTTTTTTGCCGTCAGGTCGTGTGCATCAACGTTGCGAGCCGTGAGAACGAGATCAACGCCGCCATTACCAAAGACGCGGGACTGGAGGACAAGGTGTTTTTTTTATTTTTTTGCTTTCAATCTGTTGTGACGGTTTCATGGCCGGATCACTTGTCCTGCCAATAAGAAAGATGTTCAATGCATAGTACCCTGCAGTAGTCAAGAAACACGACACAACCGTCTTTGCATCCATTCTGCCGTGTTGTGTGCGTGAAGTGCTCCTCGTTTTCTTCGCCATGCTTTCTGGGTGTCACTTTGTGGATTGGATTGTAGTGTAACGGTCACATACCCTCCGGCGGTAGTGTTTCTTCAGTTCACTTCTCTCCTTTTCTTGTTGCCGAGATCAACAGGCAAGATGGTGATACGGTAAGAGTAAAGCCGCCGTTACAGCTGACAAAAAGGTATGGTGGAAGGCCGCGAGTACGATCGAAAACCACCCGGTTCAAACTTGTGGGTGCCGCAAGACTCGAAAGTCATAGGCTTGCGAACCGAATCATCATGCATGTTTGATAGGACGTCGGCGGTGGTAAAAGCGAAGGGACCACCGTAGCTTAGCTTGTCTGCATTTGTGTGCAGGTGATTTGCAAACAAAATGGGTGCACATAAGAAACACACGTGCTGAAGAACGTGCCGCCACCTGAGATTCTGGGAGTTACCTCTAAGATTTCCAGGCTCGAGAAAAGAAAGATTTTTCACCTTGACGGGTGCGTAGTTCAGAAGCCTTAAATGAAACATCCGATCTGATCGCTGCTGGGAAACCCGACAAAGAGGCAGTAAGGAACGAGCGTCGGGGCAATGCAAGAAAGTTTCTTACAATACTCTCTGGTGCGTTTCTCTCTTGGGGCAAATTGTCGGTGTTGACCCAGGTTATTGTCCCCGGGGAGAAGTCGTTCTTCGAGACGGGCATGCCGGATGCCAGCTGCGACGTGGTGACCTCCCAGGACGCTCTCCTGCACGCGGGGTCGGAGCGGCACAGGGCCCTCGGAGAGGCTGCCCGCGTGCTCAAGCCCGGCGGGAGGATGGTCTTCACGGACATCATGCAGTCCAAGGAAGCCGACCCCAAGGACCTTCAGGAGGTAAGGGGGGGGTCACCCTTGGCCGTAGTAGTTAAGCCAACGGCCCGTGAATCATTCTCATAGGGGGGGGGGGGGTCCTTCGCATGTCGTAGACGTTAGACCATTAATCTCGTGGGGGGGGGTAGTGCTGTTGTAGCGTGAAGCCGCGAGTCCTGCTGACCCGCACGGTTTGTGCTGTTCTGTCCGAGATAAAGGAGCAGCAACGCCACCGCCCCCGTAGATAAATTGGCATCAGTTACATTCGCCTGAGACGGAGCACTTCCGCCCCTATGCTCTACCGCTTGGGGGAGCGTGTGTTTTCGGCGGGAGTTCAAAATTGGTGTAAGGCGTTGCTGGAAGAAACAGAGAGAGGAAACAGAACGATCGAACACAACATTTTGAATCCTGATGCTTTCGGGCCCTTCGGTTTTTTTTTTCCCACTGCTCTTTTGTTGGCTATTGGAAGTGTGGCGCCCTTTTCGGGTAGGTGGCATGTGTGACCACGGAAGGTGTCGGCGTCAGTTGGATCCGTGCCGATGTTTCAAGGTACTGAGCAGAGAGACCGGGACGGTGATCACTGTGAACATGACAATGCCACAACATCCATGTGCGTGGCATCCGGCATCCGGCATCCGGCAGGTGTACCAACGCATCCACCTGGACGATATGGCCACGCCCGAGTCCTACGCCAAGTGGGGCAAGGCCCACGGGCTCGAGTTCGTCGAGTTCGTCGACATGACCGACAACCTCGCCTTGCACTACGGAGCGGTGAGATGTTCGTGCGATAGCTAGCTGTACTTGTGTATCTGTTTTTTCGTGGTTTTGGGAGGGTGCTAACTGCTGTGCGGCCGAAGCATCAAACGTCGCAACACGAGCTGGTACGAAGATACCTGATCATCGACGTCATACATAGCTACGGAGTTTGATTTGTTGCTCACTTTTGTGTGCTGTGTGTGTTTCTCTTTTTTTTCGCGACTGATTTTTTCGGGGTCCTCCTAGTGTTGTACACTTGGTTTGAGAGTTGCCCTGTAACCACGGAAATTCGTCGCTTGCGCTTGAGAAGTCCGCAAGAGAGGGCATCGGAAAAGAGATATTACGACGCTTCTGACGAAGGCAACAACAACAGCCCTGTGTATCGGATTGGTGGCACACTTGGATGATTTTGTTGCTACTGTTGTTGTTTTTCCCGGTAACTGCGAGAGATACGAGATCAACCGGATCGATAGTACATTTTCGGCAGAAGATTGCAGTATCCTCTAGTCATCCTCTGCAAGAGCTACACTTCCACGCACGAGAGACTCACCCCCCCCCCCCCCCCCCCCCCCCCCCAAAAAAAGCCCCCCTTTAAAAAAAAACCCCCAAAAAACCAAAACCTGGGTAAAAAGGCCCGGAGGGGGTGGGGGCCCGGCCCGGCCACCCGGATGGGGGGGAGGAAGGGTTCCTCCACAACATGGGCCGGGGGGTCCACGCCTGGACCCCGGCGGCCGGGGGCCACCCCCTCCCAAGGGGAAGCCCGGGCCTTTCAAAACCGGGGAACTGGGGTGGGTATCCGGGAAGGGCGGAAAAAGTGTTGGTTTTGTGGGGGGGAATTTTTTTTTGGCGCCCCAAAGAAG